TATATCATTGAATTCATCTATGCAGAAGAAAAAGAAAATTTCACCAACAGACATTTAATACAGAATGTTTACAGAAACCAAAAAGTGGATGTGATCACAGTTTGGCTGTGAGTAATGCATTTCAGTAAGAGGTGACAAGCCATGTTAAGTTCTGTTTAATTGCTGGCAGAAATGCATAGTCATTGGAAAAGTGTTTTTTTTTTCTAGCCAAAAATTTACTCTACGTTTCATTAAAAACAGGAAGCATTAATTGCAGAGTATATGTTAACAATAGACATATAATGATGGTTGAAGATAATTTACATATAAAATGTTAAATAAAATTACAGCATAATGATAGCAATAATGATAATACCACAATAGATCCAGCCATTCTGCTATTAGTATTTAAACTAGTCATATAGAATATAAAAAAAAAAAAAAAAAAACTAACATCAAAAATTTCTCAAAGTATTGGTCATGAATAAAATATTCAATACTTTCTTTAATAATTGCTTTATTTATTAATTTATTTAAAAGAAAAAAAAAGATGCATTTTGTGCATAATAAAGAATTTTCTATGCTTTAATATGTGCTCTAATTTCGTTTTAAGATGCTAAATAAAATACACTGGCATACAAAAATTTGGGGATAACAAAGATTATACACCTTTATTTTACTAAAAAGTTATTTAGTAGTATGCTTTTATCAGTAGCATATGTGGATCTTGAGGATTGGAAAATAAGCTGCTGCATTTTTATAGGCACTGTATAACAGAAAATACACTTTTTAGCAGCTTGAAGCTGGGGGGGGGGAATAAAAGGCTATGCCAAACAATTGGGCCAATAAAAGACCTGAGATGATAAAGTCATAATAAAATGCAAATTTCTAAAAATTGTTCCATTGGTAAGTCATTGTGATTGAACATTAGCTTTTATTAAAAACAAAAAACAAAAAACCCCACTAACATCATGGCTAAAATTTCTGTCAAAACAAAGGTAAACACTGTAACTTTGAAGGGGAAGATAATTCCATGAGATAGCCAGGCAGCTTGAAACAGTGTTCAAACCACCTAAAAGACGTTTGCTACTACTAGAAGTAGTTTAAGTGCAAAGAAAACCAAAGAGAATCTGAGTAAGGAAAGTAAGGATTGAATGCAGCCTTAACAGTGAGGTTTCAGTACATAGAGTATTAGGACAACCCAAACTGACATATTGCAAAAATCATAATAGAAGATTGAAATGGTCAAAAGTACATCTAACATGGTGGAATGCTGGAAAGTGGCAAAAAGTAGTTTTAGTGATGAATGCAAAATAGGGTTATTTTAATGAAAGAGGATATGTAAGAAAACCAGTGGAAGAAAGAAATAATGCAAGATACACCATAATGGTGGTAAGATTTGGTAGTGGACATATAGTGTGGCAGTTGCATCAAAAGTGATAGAAGAAAATGGATAAATTGATAGAAATGTAAACAGTGAAAACTAACTTTACTACAGTCTAATCTTTTGCCAGTCTACAAAGATGGAGAAATGTTTCAGCATTAATGTGCACCAGACATGCAACAAAAAGGTTTTTTGTGGATATAGATGTTCAACTTTTGGAAGACTGGCCAGCACAAAGTCCTGATCTTAATATAATTGAACCATTGTGATGGGAACTGAAGAAACAAGTGCACCAACAAAAATCATACATTCTCCAAGAGCTTTGAGATTACTGCCAAGAAAAATGGAGAAAAAACTCCCAATGAGAAAATCTGGACCTTGTTAGATTTAATGTCACATTAAATTGAGACAATTACTCAAGCCAAAAGTCAGCAACACTAATTACTAACACCATACTTTAAGGTTTTCCACTGCAAAATTCCTTTTTTAACTTATCTACCATTAATGAAAATGCTTTTATTTTTGTAATTTCTTTTACATAGGTTTTAGCTTTACAATTACAAACTAAAAGTGAATAACAAACTGAAGCAAAACTCAATCTTATTTTAATGTGGTTTCTAATCCTAAAATTGCATATTAGCTTTATTAAAAACTTCTGAACCATTTACTGCTTTACAATTTATAATAAAATGTTAAGTATGAAGTTCACTTACACCTTTCTTTAGAGTATTTGCAATGTGAACCAAATAAACATCTTTCATGAGGAAGAATCCTATTTAAAAAGAAAAAGAAAAAAAAAAAAAAGAAAGAAGACCTATTTGCTCCATTTATTCACTTAATTTCTATTTCACTAACTACTGTCATTAGTTCAAGAACATCACTCACTATACAGGCGACAGAAGTTTAAAGCTCTTGCTAAAATCTATATTGAGAGAGAAAGAAGTAATCCTAATTTGAAAAAATCTTTAATATCTCAAGTTCATTTTGAACATGAAGGAAAAAAAAAAATAAATAAATAAATAAATAGCCTGTTTTAGTTAAAGTTTTTTTTTTTTTTTACTATATCCAGTAGCACAGTAAAGTCACTAGTCAATGTAATTCTAAATGATTTTCTCAAGTCAAATTTCAACTGGGAACTTTTGTTCTCAATAGAAAAAAAAAAAAAAAAAAAATCAAGTCAGAACTTCTCATTCTTTGTTTCAACAATTTATAAAAAATTTTTACCATTCTCATTCACACCTAATTGGCTATAAGGCAAAATTAATTTACATTCTATAATTGTGCTGTAGTAAATATTAACTCATCTTTAGTCCCAGGTAATGCCAGAAACTTCTGTTAGCATTTTCTGTTCCATACATTAATTTATGAAATTATAGTTGGAGTTTGCTGCATGGCATTAAAAGAAATTGTTAAATATCCTAACTATAGACAGATTCAGAAAATGTGCTTGAGAAAGGAACACACATCACACCTGGGTGTATGTACAATCATGAAACAAGTAAATGCTTATAATTTGTGCAATGGTTAAAAAAGCTTCTATTCAAAGAACAGTAAGAAAGAAAAAAAAACACTGCAGATTATAAAACACTGGTGACTTATTCAAATCTTGTATAAAGTTATTCCCCATCAAATAAAATGCTGTTTGTGTGCAATCATGTAACTTACATTGAAGATACTACACATTATTTACAGCAGAATTAGTAACACTAACCAATGACAAAGTGCAATATCAAACAAAAGCATGAACAAATTAAGTTTATTGGAAGTTTACAGGAAGATATTTAAAAATGAAGAGAGATGAACAGAATCAATTTCTGAACCACACTTTTCAATAAATTAATAGAAAAAAAAATTCTTGCCAGCTTAAACAAAACAATTACTGAATGTCACTAACCTTTTTATAAACTGGTCTCTCTTTTTTGGTTCCCTGTGAGAGGAAGAGAAAAAATTTATCAAATAAAGGAAGAAAAAAAAAGCAAGGAGGGGAAGAAAAAAAAAAAAAAAAAAAATACACCAAGAAGCAACAACATTCAATGGTTATTAAAGTTGATACATGTTATTCTAAATTCTGCTCATATCATTAAACACCAAAGATAGTTATACATTTTACTATTATCCTCAAGTAATAGCATTCCATTATCTAACTACACTTGGCACCCATAGTAAAGCATCCAATGTTTGGCCAAACATTTCATGAAAACAGCATGATCAATTAAGGATCAGTTTGACATGTCACTATTGTTCACAATGTCCATTATAGAAGGCATAACAGTGTAAGAAGTTCCTTTTTCAAAAATTTTCTATAAAGATATTGATAAAAGATAAATATATATATATATATATATATATATATATATATATATGCCTGTGCCCAATAAGGCAGAAAATCAGATGACAAAAGGTCCTTGTAGGAATCTACAAAGCTTCAAGAAAAATGGAGAAAAAAAAAAAAAAAAGACAACCCTGCATGTTCTAGTTTTCAAGAACACGTTTCAGACATTTAAGCTAGCCCTATACATATTTACACACGCTTTATGAACTGTATAGTGGATTCACAATAAGAAACACAAACCATTTTGTTCTTACAGCCATTCAGGCCTCAATTACCCTTACTCACATCCTATTACATAATTACAAAGGCTGTTGAAAATAAAGCATAAGTTAATATTGTAAGTTCCATTTTCTATTTAATGTATTTATCAAGATATTTAAAAATCTTTTAGAATTTAAAATGAAAATAGTTCAACAGGCTACTTAAATTTTCTGTACTTCAGCAAAAATTAGCCAAATTAACCATACATAAAACTCTTAAGCATTATTCAATAAGCATATTTTTTTATAAATAGAACCTAAATTGACACCAGTCAAGGAAGCTAACAACTGTTATTAAAAAAAAAATAAAAATTTATTAGCACCAATAGCATTTTATAAACTTTATACACTAAAGTTTAACTGTTTATAGTTGTCTGTCACTTTGGATCAAATTCATACAAGTTTCAGATGAATGCTGTGGATATATCTCAACAAGCAGAGATTTAACAAAACGTTTCTATTTATTAGTTAAAATAAAACTAATTCTGATATTTAAACACCAAATGCACAACAGGTCGTCTCAGATGTCAACTCTTTCACATATAACCAAATACTTAAATTTCATCAAATGATTGTCAATCCAATTATTTGAAGAAACCAAAATTGTAAAATACATTTTTTTTTTAAACTCACAATTTCTATGTAACAATGTTGTCAAAAAGTTTTATGGCATTTACTCACTCATCTTTCCGATCAGCCTTTGGTGCTGCATTGGGGCACCTCTTTCCAGTTTTATTGGCAACATAACTACACTGTTTATATGGACTATTTTTATCTTCCAAAATATGCTTCAGGCAATAATCAGATCCTTCCAATCGATTTTGCATACACACTCTGTGGTTGTAATTACAAAATAGGCCTTCGACAGGAACTTTCACTTGTCGTTTCATCACATTGTTCTTGGTACGGTTCATTCTAAAATAGCAAAGGGAAAATAAAATATCAATGTAACTACATGAATACAAAGTTTCAAAACAGGGTTGAACTAAGATTTGCAAGACAATGTGGAACCCTAAAAATCCAGGAAGTTCATTTTATCTATTGAGAGAGAGAGAGAAAGAAAAAAAAAAAAAAAAAAAAAAAGAGCAAGCCAGAATAAATTTTAAATGTACTGCTGGAACCCAATTATAGACTACATGGCAGAGTATAGTCTATTTGAATATCCCTTTCTTAAATAATGAGCATTTAAAATTTTTAAAGTTGAAAAATTTGAAAAAAAAAAAAAAAAAAAAAAAAATTCTTGTCAGAATGTAATATCAAGAGGTTTCAAGTACAAGGAAGTGTTGAAATGTTCTCTGCCCAACTAAAATTGATTTTGGAAGGACTTCTTGGTCAGGCTGAGAACTTGCTGTATTCCATTTTGATGCAATGCTACAGTTATAGGCAAAAGCATAAATTGCAATGGCCAGAAGGTGAAGTTTATAGGGATGCTCACATTCAGTTAGGGCCAGTATGTATCAGCAGTGATAAGAGATTGTTAGGGGTAAGTTGAGGAGAAAAATCACCTATCACCAACAATGACCAGACTAAACCTATCTACATAAGCAGCAAATAAACTTCATACATGTGGATGCAGGGTTGTTTGTAATTTTTTTATTTTTTTTATTTAAATCAATTTATTTGCCTAAAATTTTATCAAATGTGAGATATTGGATTTTTCTAATCAACTTAATTTTCATAATAGTAATATTTGCTATTAAGAAGAAAAAAAAAAAAATTCAGTGACAAAAGTCTTACATTTAAGCAAGGGGAAATTTTTCTAATTGTTTTAAAGAACTAGTTTTGTTGCTCTCTTTGTACAAAGATGTTTTCTCAATTGAGAATGAATAAGTCTATATCCAGTTCATTTGTGTACATATCCCCCGTGTTACAAACACACATTTGAGGGACTGTGTCTTCAAATTTATCATCTTTACTTTCTGTTGCATGTATTCCCATGTTCATTTCAGGGAATGTCAACACTAAGTCAACACCTAGCTGGTCATCCCCAATAGAAAACATGCTTGGAACAGAAGAGAAAATGCCTGCCAAATGAGGATGCCGCTGATACGAGTTGTTTTACTGCTGAACACGCTTGTTTGTGAATTGCATCATTCAATAGCTGATTGGGTCTGGCTTGGCACATCTGAAAACTTCAGTTTGGAAAAAGAGGAAATTTTGCATGCAACTTCATGAAAGTGAACACAAGGGATAATTTTCATTGGTATAGTCCAATGCAATATTTAGTACTTCAGTGCTTTCTTTGAGATAAGGAGAAACTATGTAGACAATGATATGGCTTTTGGTGATGACTTGATCATGAAGGAAAAGTACAATACTTTCTTGTTTCAGTCACAAAGCATTGCAAAAATTTTCACAAACATTTCCAAATATCAACTGCTTCAATAATGGTACATAACCAGAGCTTCAGCTATTGGTTAGGATTGAGAAAGCAGATCCTCTACAGATCTAATGTCTTAGTTCTTCTAATCTATTTTATCCTTATTTACTTCATAAATTTGAATTGATCAGTGTTCTATTAAGTGTCCTGTTGATTACCTTGTTAACTTGAAAAAGCTGTAATAATTAACTTGTATAAAAGAGTAATTGTGGTCCAAATTTACAATTTTTTTTTTTTCCAAGTGCTATTTTGAAAAAAAATTTATTAAATAAAGACATCTGAAGAATTCAAAAATGAAGTTGTTTAATGCCATTTTTGAGTGAACATTAAGAATTTTTTTTTCACTTTTTACAACTGTTAGATTTTCTAATTTTTTGCATGGAAATTTGAAAAGGAAAATCTTGGGACTATAAATAGCCATTATCAATGAATTTTTTTTTGGGGGGGGGGGGTATGCCGAGATTTAAAGAATTTTTTAAAATTGGAATAATTTTTTAGTTGGGCAGAAAGTTCTCACTGTTTCTAAATAAATTTATTTCATTTAAGAACCTTCAAGAACTTTTCCTTCAAACCATTTGAAAAAAAAAAAAAACTATGTTTTAATGAATTTCATTTCATACTTCTGTTATAAAATAAAATTACTCATTCTACTCAGCTTCATAAAAACCACTAGAGAATAAAAATATTCATAAATTGGTTTTATATGGTTAAGGAATTTACTTTTTAGACTTAAACAATACCAGTTTCTAAGTCCTCGCTACTTAATTCAGTTCTATGTACATTTGTATAAATATTAGGATTTCTGTATGACCCTACTTTTATTCAACTATAATCTTCAGGACAGCTAAAACAAAAAACATTTTAAAAACCAAAGAAAAATTAATCCTTAAATTCACTTTGAAACAAAAATGTTGGATTTTTAAAGTTTTCACTTTTCATCAATAATAGAGATTCCATGAGTGACCATGCAAATATTCTTCAGTAAGTGCAATATGCAAGGCACTCTTGTGCAATCAGGTCTTTCATGACAGACTTGGCAGAAGAATTCCCAAATCTGCTATTACTTGCTTCGGTAGACTGGTTGCTAACTAAGCCTATAAGACCCAATCTGTTCTGCTATTTAACCCATAGCTGGTGGGGCAGAGAAGTGGATTCATGCAGTATTTGTACATATGTGAATATAACCAACTCGACTCTTCAATAATCTTGTTTTGAACAGTTATCCATCACTCCACCCACACATTCAAGCTTACAGCACCTGATGTTCCAAAATGGTCACTCATCTAAGTACTGACTAGGCCAAACGTTGCTTAACTTCAGTGATCAAATGAGAAGCATTGCATCAATATTTAAAAGTCTAAAAACCTCATTTGAATGTCATTATTTTTAACACATTACATTTATGCTTATAAAAATAAAATCAAAATTTAACATTTAAATTATTTATAATGCAATTTTGAAGTCTAGAGGGGATACTTAGGACTGTTTGGACTGCATATCAAGAATATAACATTTAGGTTTTAATTTTTAAAATACTAAATATTCAAATTATTATTACCAGCGGTTAATAACCACTGAGTAGGTATTTTTAAGAGAAAAAAAAAAATTTGTTTGAACAATGAAAGTTATCTTAAAAATTTCAAAATGTTCTAAATTATTAGATACTACAAAAACTGATGAGTTTTCAAAATAAAAAAAAAAAGAAAATTCTTTCCAAAGATCTCAAGGAATTATCAAATTTAAGCAAAATTTTCAGTATGGATGAATTATGTATTGAATTGGTATTTTATTAGAAAACTTTCTGGAAATATCTTTGTAGGGTCCGTTTCACTACCACTTTTTCAATATCTCATGTAGTTTTTAATGTGGTGATGAGGAGTCTGCACTTAAATAAAAAATTCCCAAAGATGTTATTTCAGTAAGAAACTCATGCCATATCAAGTGTGAACATATGAAAAATTTGCCCTGAATATTACCAAAGATAAAAAAAAAAAAAAAAAAAATTTTTCTGAGTGTTGATGCATGTCTAATTTAAAACTTTTTCTTTCAGATTGGACAGGGAAAAAAAAAAAAAAAATAAAAATATTCCAAGAGTCACTCAAGATAGAAGGTTACAGAATAAGAGGTAAGAAGCACAGTTCATGAGGACATGTGGGGAAAGATAATTGTTAACCAGAGACTTGAGCAGGTTATGAATGTAGAGATTGAGGATGCATCATCTTGGGAGTCAGTTCCACAAAGCATGAAGGTTAGAACTAAATGTAGTTCATCTGAACACATTCCATATACACATGACGATAAGTAAAGAGAAGCTTGCAATATTTCATCTGTGAAGAAAGGTGTTGTAAAGGTAGGAAACAATTCATTATCCACAAAACCATGTAAATACTTTTGGACTATCAAAACTGGAAAGTAAAGACTGAGCAGCAGTACTTTATTTTCAGCCTGATCTGACTTTTGAAAAAGTCAGGATAGCAGGAGTCAGGTACTTATTGAAATAGTACAGGGAACCTATTATTCACCCCCCCCAGCATTTTTAGCTATAGATCATATGTACAAGTTTCACTTGAGGACTTATGTGAACTTGAGTCCAAATAGATACTTTAAGACAATACCTGTTCATCATGATAGATGAAAATTCAGGGCCCACTGTGATGGAACATTACTAGTTCATCCCGACTAAGCTGTTAGAGCTAGATCAGAGAAGAGATCAGGCTCTGGAATTTTGAAGGTGTACACATACTGTTATATCAACATAGATAGCCACAAAAGATCAGTGTAGATATCCCAAACTGCTTTAGTTTACAGTACAAACACTTGTCAAAATAGTGACATTTTCTTCCATTTCTGATCTTATTTATTTTCAAAGCTATTTTGATAAAATTAGTATGTAAACAATTTTTTTTCTTTTCATTCTAAAGATATAATTCATTCCATTGTGTGATGATTAGTTTTCATTTTTACGTCTGTTTCAATTATGTCACTATTTCAATGACAGTGATTTTCCATATTTTCAAAATTGACAATTTTATAGTTGTGTTCCTAAAACTTCTTGCACTCAGAGTTGTCTCTTCCACACATATCGAAAGAGTCATCTAAAAAAAAAAAAAAAAAAAAAAAAAAAAAAAGGGATGATTAGTTTTTTAAATTTTGTCCATTCTCATTTGCCCAGAAAATGTTAAAGTAAAACTTTTAACGATCATTTACAAATAGGTGCTTCCATAGACTCAAAAGAAAATGAGCAATAAAACTAAGGCATTTAATTAGAAAAGCTTTTAATTGCTTTTATGAATAACATTATGGACACTGACATTAGAAAAAAATTTTTGGCAGACATGGATAAACTTGCCTGCAATAAGACAGTGTCAAAAGGATGTCCCCCCCTCCATGATACTGCTTTTTTTTTTTAAAGACTATCTTCAGAATGAAGATCGTCAGCAATGTTTGTTTTAAAAAAGCAACAATTAGAATTTGAATAAAACCTATGATGAAAGTGAATTTATACATTTTTTTTTTTTTTTTTATTCTTGGAGAATTTACAACAAAAATATTAATTATTTATTAGATTGTTTATTGACAAGAATTGTTTGGTGGGGGCAGTGCAGTCATACATGGTGTGCCTGGCAATCAAAATATGGGTAAGTGTCCGTCTCACACTATCTGAAAGGAATCAGTTTTTCCATGGTGACTGACTAATGATTGTCCCCCATAGAAAGGTGATTAACTCACTGAGGAACATGGGAATTGGTTTCTCACATGATCCTAAAAACTGGCCTTCAATGTCAAAGCTAGGCAGAAGATTTCTTCAACACAAACAACCACTCCAGAAAATCTAAATTTATTGATGGCAAATATGACACCAACGTGCTCTGTCCACATCTAGGTAGCAAAATGGTGATTTGAGTATTTTCCGAGTTTTCAGTGTCCCCCCCCACACTTGATAATTGTAGTAAAAGTCTGTTCTTGCACCTTTCAACAACAATCCTGTTACCTTTGTGTCTGTTGTGTTTTAAGTTACTTTCACTTAGCTGAAAGTTCTTAGGTGTCAAGATCAATACCAATGGTAGTAAATCTCAACTGGAAGCTGCTCTTTGCAACAGGAAAATCAGTTGATCCATCTCCACCTCTAAGACAAAGGAAAGTCGTAGTCACTGTAGCAGTTGTAATGAACAACCACCACCTCAGATAGCATTTAATTACAAGCAACCAAAACCAATGGGTTGCAATATATTATGACCAACTTTTACATTGGTCAAGTCATTGATAGCGCATCTCCATTCAGTGCTGCGATAAAGTTTTTAGCTTCAACAAAGAGCAGGAATTATTATTTCTGATGGACTTTGTCAGATATTGCACAAATGGAATCAACATTTGTCTTTACATGAGACTGACACAATTCAAGTGATGTCTGGATATGTTGTGTTCCAGAAATAATGGTATATGAGAGGCTTATAAAAAAATTCAGTCAGCAAAACACCATTAGAAGTGACAAACTATTCACAATGACCAGAAAGTCTTTCCTATCAGGTTAAAACGCTATTATAAAGCATTTTTCTTTTGTAAAACAAATTTCTGAATCTTGTTGCCATTAATGTCCCATTTTTGATAAATTGAAAATGAGTTTCACAAAATTTTCCAAAATAAGATACATCTATTACAAAATGTATTGACAGAGCGAAAAGTGTTGTTTTGTTGAATTCCTCATCCCAAAATCAGTAAAGTTTCAGGCATGTACTCCTAATGGATACTTTTTTATAGCAAGTTCAGTATAGCATACTTCTGACCTGTTTTTGTCCTACTGTAAAATTGTGCTTCTGACTGGTTTTATGTAAGATAAATATAGGGTTTATTGAACTATGAGAGAGAGAGAAAAAAAAGGAAAGAAGCCTCATCTGTTGTGCTATGAAGTATAGGAAGTTGCAAGGCATTAACTGTTGAAATGAAACTTATGATCAGTCATATTTGTCCGTGTGTCATATTTCCAGTATTTTATTTTTGAGAACAAAATTTTCCCAATGTTTAGGCTAGCCTGATCTAAGAGTTATTGATTTTATTAGCATTATCTCTTACTTCAACTTAACCTATATAACATTACATTTATGATTTTTTTAGACTTGTTTGAAGCCTGCATCTTCAGTTATACACTGAAAATTGGCTTTTTGTCTAATAGCACATTAGACAAAGTTTTCATGAACTTTGAATGGTCAGACCTTTGTTGCTAATTTACTTGTATTAAAGGTTTTTTTTTATATATTTATATAAAAACAGTTTTAGATATATTGAAAATAAGATTCCAGTTTGGGATCCATACTCTTAATGTAAAGTAGAGAATTGGATGAAGAAGCAAACCTTGGGGACACCTGCTTTGATCATAGAGGCATGATCATATGAGCATACTAGCTATTAACAACTATCTTCAGGGACCTACCTATTAGGAAGAAGGACTTTATGATTGAGAAGACTTCTAATGATTCCATAGCTGGAGAGCTTGTGCAACAATCCTCTATGCCACACCTTGTCAAAAGACTCAAAAATATCTAATGCGATCATCCTAGACTTGTATTTATCTAGTATGTCACTGATTCTGTGAGGCATGACAGTATATAAATAGTGGACAGAGCCAACCAAAATCCATACTGCTTGTTGCGCAAGAGGTTGTCTCTATTGACGTGATCAACAACATTTTCATTGATTATAGTTTCAAAGAGTTTGCTAATGAGACTGAGGAGGCTGATGGGTCTAAGATTGAGATGAGCACTCACCTACATTCTTGAAAACAGGGCATACACTCGACATCTTCTACAGATTTAGGAAGGTGTTCTCCTTCAAGCATCAGTTGAATAGTTTTGTAAAGATTGAGAATAACTCAGGGCTAATATTCTTAAGGACACTTGAAATTTTATTTGAACCTTTAGCCTTCTTAAGGTCAAGGTTTTTTTTTTTTATAAATCTTGGGACTTCCTGGGCTGTGATATTAAAGTTTGTGCTTAGTAAGAGCAGAGGATGGCTTTTGTCATCTAACATGGAGTTAGAGGCACATGTTTGAAGAAGGCTGAAAGAGGAACTTCAGCAATGCAGAATATGATGCTGTCCCAGTCAGCTGTATGCCAAAAGATTATCCTATAGAACAGCACATCAAGAGATACCTTTGGTTTGGCACCAAATTTGAATGGTCTGGAGTGCCCTGAAAGGCAGGGAGGGAGGGTAACACTTCAGTAGAGCATTTTTCAGGGCAGTATGTGAGGAAGAGATCTAGCAGGCTCATCTGATGTCTTGTTGCATTAGGAACATGATTGGGTTCTGTTATTATCTGTATCAGTTTGTAGGTGACCGAGAAGTCTTGGCCATATCTGCATTCTTCATTAATTTTGTTTGAACAGACTAACAACTCTTTGTGGTGAATATTAGTCACCACAAATATGAATGCTTGGTGAGAAATATGCAAGAGATTATTAATTGCCTCAGCTATTTTGTTGGACATTACAGTTCTGTCACTCTGCAGATTATAGTGAAGATGGAAAAGGTACTCTGAACAAGTGCCATGCAGCACATTTACAGGATATCAGGATCCTCATTTTGGGGCTTTCTGTAACATAGGAATCCAATCTTAATGTAGAGGGTGGTCCAAAGTCTTATCAACCCTACATAATATAATTTTCTATTTCAGATAGCTTACAGTTTGGAAGAGGGGTAAGGGGGTGATAAGACTTTTTTTTTATATATATATATAAAATATTACATAACACATTCCTGTTTGAAAGTATGGTCAACCATACATGACAATCAAAAAATAAGAGCAATGACTACAGTAAATTTAAGTTCAACATTTTTAAAATTAGATTACAGAAATATTTACCAACATTTTTAAGATTACTGAGTAGTTTTTGTGTGTGTGTGTGTGTGTGTATATAGGCGCTCACCAGTCATTTTCTTAAATTATGTTTTAACAGATAAAGTCACCGTAGAACAATAATAAACATGTCAACTTCAACACCTTTTGAGTGTTAAGTAATTACGCTACTGTTTCTTTTTTAAAAATCCATTTCTGCTAATTACTTTAAGTCTTAAAGTGAATATTTTTTTCAAATCAGATTAATTATGCTTTAAATCAGTTAATATTCCATTAAATAATATTTCAGAAAAGCATATTTTATTTTTTTAAAACTGAGAAATAACTTGTTTACAAATGTGTCAAATGGCTGTTTTTCTGAAAGCAACCAAAAAGTTGAGATTCCAATCAATATAATTACATTTTGAAATACAGAGTCTTTTGCTTACTGGAAATAAATTTAATCATTTAGCTTTCAATTAAACCTAAAATGAAAACGTCAAGAAGGCTTTTTCATTTTTAGGCATCGAAACTGAGTGGAGGTACCTACTGAAATGTTTATGAAAAAGAAAAAATTAAATCATTTCAGATCGCAGTGTATTAAAACAAAACTGCGTCCATTCTTTCTGTATTTGAGAAGAGAAAAGAATAGTTGTGAACGATTCCGATACTTAAAATAAAAAAAATCTATTTTTGCCTAATTTCAAGTTATATGTTCAATTCAATACAATACGATTTGTTTCTTAAAGTTGAAGTTTTGGATGCACGAGTAATCGAAGTGATTCGAGTTTAAAAATAAGTAATTAAAGAAAGAAAAAAAAGGCACATTGTTAAAGACACGCAGGGGAAAAAAGCTTTAAATTAATGAAATAATTCATTTCATTCGAATAAAAACAAAATTGAATTTTTTTTAAAAAATAGTTTCCGGTTTGTGAACACGTGCCAATGTTGTTAAGTTTTTTTGTTTTTTTTACTTATTACTAATTTTGAGAATTATTAAAATGATAGATTTTCTTTTAATTAAAAAAAATAAATAAACAAAGAAACATTTTTTAAAGTATTCTATTTTTTAAAAATCGAATTTTAAGTTTTTTTAGTATATCAAATTATCGTAGATCCAGTTTTCTTTAAAAAAAATTTTTTTTGTTGAGAATGGAATATTGGTGTGAATATTTCTTCTAAGCTATCTGTTTAATAATCACACACAAACAAGTGATTTTAAAATTTCTTAAATTTTCACAAAATTAAACATTGTTACCAATCGTGATTTAATTTTTTTTGCAAGTCTTAAACTGTACAATGAAAAACTGAAAAGAAAACATCGTCACTTCATTTTTCAAACAGAATAATGACGATATAAGAAAGTAATTTTATTAGATTAGAGAATTAGATGATCCTTGTGATTTGAATGATTTGTTAGATAAAAGGCAAAAAGAAAGAGTGAAAGATCTATTCTCTCCAGACCAAAACATTCAAATATTTTTGTTTATAAATTGCAAATAAAACAGCAAATTTAAGAAGAGAGAAGTACTAAATCGAATATAGATTTTGCTGTTGATCGATTTATTGCCGTTCACTGTAACAGCCATTGACTAACCTGCAGGAAGAGAATTTTAAGTTAAATACCATGAAAAACATAAAAATTATGGAAAGAGAGATAGAAGAAGGGGGGTGACATTTTTTATTTGTTCAGGAAATTTACCGTAAAGAATTTTACAAAATCAGTTTTATGCGCAAATTTTCTCATTTATTCATTAAGAGCGTTAAAAAAATGCAACTTTTGAAATTCAAACAAATTTATGTTTAACTTAATTTTCAAGTCGGTCTCTGATTTTTCAAATATATTACAGCTGAATTTTCTCTCGGAATGAACTAAAGACTAGTAAAAATGGCTGTTCAGACCTACTTTCAATTTTTATTCAAATTCTCTCGATAATTCGAGTGATACATAAAAAAAACAAGTCGGAGGTAAGTGATTTGTAAATGTGAAACAAAATTAAAAGTCATAATTTTATTTTTTTTCTCTCTAGCTAGGACAATTTGCTATAATGCCTGTTTATCCTCGTACCAGTAAATAAAGAGAACATAAAATAAAATACCACTAGTTTCTTAAATAAATGAAAAATAAAGGTAAAAGATCCACACGGAGTTCGAATGTTTACGATTTGTATGAGTGAAGTTTTCATTTAGGATTCAGAGAAATACTTATCATTCCGCCATATTAACTAGCCAAAGAAAGAAAAGTAAAGCTTTTGTGATAAAATTAAATTCATACTAACATATTTTTTTTTTTGAAAATTTTAAAAATATTCTACAATAAAAACGTCGCGGTTTAATTTGAAACAAATTATTAATCATAATCATTTTTAGTGCTCGTATAATGCTCCTCAATTAATGAGATGGAAAACCCCATAAGGAGTTTTGACTACATTATTAGGGACGCTTATAAAATTTGAATCGAATCGTTTTGGGAAAGAAAGAAAAGAAAAGATTTTTTTTTCCTTTTTAAAAAAAAAAAAATATATATATCAAGGCTAAGTGTATGGGTGCGCATTTTTATTCACACTTGACCCCAATTGAAAACTTAACGAAAAATAGTAAAAAAATCAATTAAAAATATCGTATAGCCAACTCCATAAAAGCAAAATGAAATCGATTTTGACAAGACATTTCGTTATGTTGTACAGTAGGAACATGAATCCATAAAATTTAAAAAGCTCTCTCTGCTTTTCTATTTTATTTTTAACGAAGCCGAAATACGAGGGAAATATTTGTTTTCGACTTCACAAATCATCAGATGATAGATTGAAGATTTTAGGAGAAAAAAAAAATGGCACAAACGAAATTACGTTTCACTTTTAAAAAAGTGGACAGAAAAAAAATTCAAAATTGGAATAACTTCAAATAAAAGAAAAAATGTTATAGGAAGACAGATTAAAATGGACATGAAAAAAGTAAATCTCTTGAGTTTCGGGTTCATTAGAAATCATTTAAGCTGAACTTAAAATTAGGTAATTAAAATTCTGCATTTATTTCTACTTGCATTTTACAATAAGTAATCCTCTATTAAAAGGCCTAAGACAATTAGAAATTATGTTTGCTTTTCACGTCAAAGTTTTACTAAATTGAAATTTTGAACAAGAATTTTCTTCGAGAAAGGGAGTAAAAAAAAAAAAAAAAAAAAAAATTAAAAAATAGAACAGTGGTTTTATATTGTAATGATGAATCAGAACATTAAACATGATAAAAGAAAATTCGAAATAGAAAAAAAAAGTAAAAGTAAAATGATATTTAGATATAAATTCTTTAGATAAGCCCTAAGTAATTTAGAAACAAGAATAGGAAATTGGTAATCAAGAATATTTACCTATGAAAGCTCATCCTTGTATTGCAGTCTTCCAGCATAAATCAGTGAGCAGCGACCATTAAACTACGGATTCACTCCCCTAGCAAAATGAACATCCCTCCCTTCACTTCTGGAGTATTATAATAAAATATGAGAAATATTAGCTTACATATAGAAAAGAAAGAAAATAATTAAGGGAAAATTCTAGCCTCGATCAAAATCATTAATCAAAATCTATAGCTACTGTTGTAGTTAGTTTCTTTTAACATGAAAGCTATTCCAGTGCCATATCAAGAAAAATTGGGTTTCCGTTTGTTTTTTAGCTGCTGACTTAACAGAACATTAGTTTTCCTTTTCATTTTGCTAGAGCACTTTAAGTAAAGAAAAGTAGGTGTTATAAAAAAAAAAAAAAGAGAGAGAGAAAAAAAACAATCACAAATTAAATAAGTTCTTTAATTTTTAATTTTAAAGAGACACGAAACTATAAAATATACTTAAAGAATAAATAAATAAAAATAAATAAATGCTCCCCCCCACCAATAAAATCATTTACAAAAAAAAGTTTAATTGCAATGAAATTAATGAACTGGACTAAAAATAATTATTTATTTCACACACGATTCGTTTGATCATAGAGGAAAAAAGTTAAAGTTCGAATACAAATCAAATAAAACTAAAAGTTTTTGATTTACAAATGCATTTTTAAGGGAATTTGGTTTGCAAAACAAAAAAAAAAATTTTTTTAAAGTAATTAGAGTTTTTGATAGACGAAATATTGGTAAAGTCAAAACTTTGCTATTGCAATAGAGGACAGTAAAAATAACTTCAAGACATTTTGAAGCTTAAAGGAAAGCAAAAATTTAATTACGTTTATGGTTTCGTTTATGGAAAGAGAAACTTAGTTGAGATTATTACGTAAAGAAAGCTAACTTTCAATTTATTCAAATAAGATTTTAAAAAAAAAAACTTCTACAATAAAAATGCAGAGTTTTCTTAAAAAAAAAAGGTTTCAAGTACATGAACCAAAATTAATAATCTGCAAGTACTTTATCATTATTTTAGGATAAGTAACTAAACAGACAGCACCTAAAATATATTGCATAATGTGTGTGTGTCTTCCACAGTACTCACATGTTCAAGATTGTTATTGCTGCTAGTCCGTTATACTAAGATTACTCCACATAAAACTGCGCTAGTGGCTGCACCAAGGCTTTATATAGTATGACGTAATTACGTCACTTCCTGTTAGATAAGAATTTGACATCACTCAATTAGACAGCTTGATTCTTCCTCTTTACGCAGTTTTCTTTTGTTACCGTTTCTATCCAATGGCTCTGGGTTGATGGTTTTTCTTTCCAAACCTAGCTAAAGAAAACTAAAAATAATTATTTCAAGCCAGAAAAAAAAAAAATTGTTTTTTTTAGTAAAACATTTTATTTTACACAGCAGTTTCACCAAACAAATCGGTTCTTCACATCAAGTAATAGTTGGAAAGTGTATTATCTTATCTTGAATAGTTGCCGTGGATTATACAAGTGAAACATGTGGACAATATTTAGAAAACTTCTCTTTTGGATACCACACACGTATTAAAGTAAATAATGAAAAAAAAAGTTACCAGATGAGAGACAAACACCTCTCTTATATAATCTAATGTTGAATTGATATTATCATAATCAATGAACGCGTTTTCATTTTGAGGGAATATTTTATTTTTTTTAAATGTAATTTTTTTTTGTTGTTGGTCGAAATGCAAAAGAAAAAGAAAAAACATAATTGGTAATTTCATAATTTACTGATTGATACCGTAAAAACTTAAAATTATAACAATATAACTTCATAATTTAGTTGTAAATAAATTTTGAATCAACTCTACTTAAAATTGCAATATTCGACAGTTTTTTTTAATTGTATTCTTCCCTACTTTATTTTCAAAACAATTAAACAAATGAAATATATTCTGACTGACCTTCTCAGAATTACGCAACAAAGATAACTTTAGTTCACGATGTATTTGCAACGCTTTATTTCTAAATTTGTATCGAAGGAAGCAGCATATAGGTATTTATTTGCAACCATGCTTTCTTCTCTGATATGGAATAAATCTTGCACTTGAGTAACAACACTGGATGACATCCACCAGACGTTCTAAGTTTAATTATTTCTCGGTTTGCCACATTCCAAGGTCAATCGAGTATAAAATTTTATTTTATTTTTAATTATGAACTTGATCTTTTACATTGTTATTATTCTAAAATAATAATCCCACAACATTGACACTTGTCTATCTTATTAAACTGGTATGTGCTAACGGCATAAACAAAACATTTCCAAACTCAACACCCGCCATCTTGTTAGTTGTACCCAGCCTCGTTTCTATGATAGGAAGGCCAATTTAGTTCCGTCTATTGGCCATTTTTGTTTTCAGCCTCTTTTCTATATGAAGTAAGCCAATCCCATTTCAACTATTCGCCATCTTTATTGTTCTCAACCTATTTGTGTGTATATATAAAATATATGGATGTATATATAAAATATAACCCCATTTCAATTTCCCCGCATTTAGCTTGCGCTATACTAACCTGTTCCTAAAACGCCGACATTGTCTTCGTTAGTTGCCGGGTTGGCTAAGTCACGTGACCTGTGGTTTCGTATCTTTCTCCTTTTTTTTTTTTTTTCGCCGTACTCTCGCGAGACATTGAGCCGATTTCGCGTGACGTTTTTTTTTTTTTTTTTTTTCTTTTTCACGCTAGTTCACTTTCTAGGAAGTGTAGGTCCGTATCGGATGCGAGATTCTGTTATTGAACTTTGCACACTGTCTACACGATGGCGACTACCGACAAGGATGAACGATGGCTGTTTGGCAAAGCTGCAATTTACAATGCCCCAAGTACACAAGACCCAGAGCCAATGGATCATAAACGAGAATTACACTTTCGCCAGATAACCGCGAATTTTATTCAAGAAATGGGCCAGAAGCTTCAGGTGTATCCTTTTTTTTACCTTGATATACTGAATGAGTGAAATGTTATTAATTTTGTATTGCTTTTTCTCCGTTTCCGTCTCCTTGTACATTGCATGTAACATATGAATGCTTTAGCAGGGATAGAATAAGAATTTGGTATTCGTTTGGGCAATCAAGCATTTTTAACAGTTGAACTTTGTAAATGCTTACGAAATGTTAACTTTGTTAATATGGCGGTCACATATATTCATTTTATCCTCAACAATTCTCCATGTGCAAAAATGCAGAGTAATTTAGTCGTCAAAACTGTTTTACCATAACTTACCCTAAGATCTGAATTTGCCTATAAAAAGAATATTATGTCCGATTTTTGTTCAATTAATATCAACAATGGAATATGAAAATGGTTGTTTTGGTGACCTAATTTTATTACAATATTTTATTATTTTTCTCGGCTTTCCTCACACCTTGTTCACATTTCAGAAGTAAATTTAAAAAAAAAAATGTAATTTTATTTAATAAATTTTTGTTGCTTTCTATCATGCATTTCACAGTAAATCTGAATTTTTCATATAACGGTTTGTACTGAATTTTGGAAGATTTCTTTTTTATTTTATTTTTATGTAAGTTTTGCCGGGAACTGTTTTACTTTTATTGTATCTAGGAAAATTTTAAAATTTGATAATTCTTAAAAGTTGTGAAAGATCATGAGTGCAAAGTCCTGAAAACTATAACAATTTTGGTTAGTTTGATATCACTTACAATATTTAATTTCTTATTTCTAGAAAATTTGTAGTGAAAGCTTCAGTAAAGGAAAATTATTTCTTTTTTAAACGTTACGATACCCTTTGAAAGGCTGATTTAATGTTCCCTCTTATAAGAAAAATGTATCTGAAAATAATATTCAGTATAGAATAGTTAAATGAAGTAGTAGCATTTATTTTGAAAAAAAAAAGGCTTTAGTTTATGTGTAGAAATAAGTTTTCTTGGTTTAGTCTAAAACGCAAAACTTAAATTGCCACACTTTCTGGGAAAGATTTTTGCCTACGCTTTACAGTACACTTATGATTGCTTGAATAACAATTCAAAACCTGCAGTCTCCACTAATTTTACTTTTTTTTTTTTTTTAATTCAAAATGTTTCAATAGGAAATCCCTTATTTCTCTAGCAATCCATTTAACTACTCAACAGCTAAAATTACCCCATAAATTTGCTTGTCTAATAGACTCTTCTAGAAAAAAATAAGGATTTTTTTATCTTTATTGTGACATGTTCTTTTTTTCTGCATGATTACAACGTACATTTCTAAACTAAAACACGTGACTTTACAATAAATGTTTTTTGTTAGTTTCTTTAAAATATTGAATGTACAAATAATATTCGATCATAGATATAACCGTCATTTATAAATATTTGTTTTCTGTAACTTAATTTCTAATATAAAAGAATATAGGAAAAGAGCTTTTTAAGTGGGAAAATATGCCATATTACGACTTCAATCTGAACTAAACGCCACATTGGTCATTTTTTTCCCATGTACTTGTTGGCTGAAGCCAGCCAAGCATATAGAAAGGATACTTTGTAAGGTTTGGTGGGGCATACATGTATGTAGGTGATTTTAGGTCAGCTACTTTTCTTTATTGGACTAGCTCAGGCTACCCTAACAATGGAGGTAGGGATTGCTTTAACATCCTTAGTTTACTATTTTTGTGAACTGACCTAGGCTTCATTCAGCTTACGAGTACTAATTTTTCCGTTTTTGTGACATGCTGACTGACCATTTGAGATCAACAAGCATCACGATAAGTAGCTACTAATTAAGTAAATTACTTTAAGTTTTTTTTTTGTTTTTTTCGCAGAAATGGGAAATTCATCTCATTTTCAACACTTTTTATTAATTACACCAGAATAGTACCCGTAAAAATTGACAGGCTTATTTTATTCATAAACTGACACAGGAGTGTGTCTGCATGCTCTGTGAAAAAGTGTTACACAAAAAAATGTATACAAGCATTAGGTTTTAGGTTATGTAGTATTTTTAAAAAAAAAACACAATATTATTTTCAGTATTTTATGATTATAGTGGTGACATTTTTTATCCAATGTTTTATATTTTCAAGCAATAAATAGTTCAAATTTAAAAGCATTTCACTTTCAAGAAGCATTGATTTACATAAATTGTCTTCTGTTGATTGTTAATCTGTCTTATAATATGCAGATTTCTGTGATTACCTGATGCCTTTCTATTTCCACCATTTCATTGTTTACCTGGCCTGTTATTACCTTAACACTAAAAGTACTCAACTTTGTATCAACACAGCAATTGTGTACATGCATCGATTTTACATGTTCCAACGCTTTCAAAGGTTTAATAAGAATGTAAGTATGTTTTACTCTTTGTTTTGCCTTGACAACAAATGTGTGCACTTATATCAGTGAAGAGGAATTATATCATTGCTAACTCTACCAATATTAAATCTTGTTTACTCAATTGGACCTTTCCTCACATCTATCTATCATTCAGTTTACAAATATCTAAAATGGAAATATTACTTTTGCACATGTCCTGTTGACTTAGTAAAATCATTCAAAATGAGCCATGGTTAATAACTTGGATTATTCATAGCTTATAGAAAATTTTAGTTACAGTGATTAAATGTACTAAGATACTTAGGCTAATGATTGCATGTTTCTTTTAAGATACAGAATATCATAAACATATACTGATTATGAAGTAATATGGCTTACATATGAAACATTTCTAAATTTACAATTTCAATACAAAGTATGACTGATTTTAATCTCTTTTATCTGTGTGTGTGTGTGCACGCAATCTATATATATATATATATATATATATATATATATATATATATATATATATATATATATATAATGTGTCATGTCCTTTTAGGATTTGGTTGATCATGACTCTCCACATCTTTCTGCCTTTAAGTAACTTTTTGACCTTTTATCATCCATTCCTTCTCATTAAATGGGTTACTTACTATTTCCATCTACTTCTCTTCGATGTTTTCTGAATGTTAAATTCTTCTGTACATCTTTCCTCTTATGTTCCCCAAATATTTCAGCCATATCTTTCTTCAGTGTATGTGTGTATATTTATTCTTCTAAGTTCAGTTTGTTCTTTTGCTTTGTTAAAACTGAATTTCCATGGCTAAAACCAACCTCAACCATATAGAAATACAGGTAAAAAATACCTTTACACAGAGATTGTGATACTTGTCAATATTTATTTTTACTCCTGAAGTTAAAGAGGCTCTTGTCAGCTTGAACAGTTATTCAGGCCTGTAGAAGTTTTAGAAAGTTCATCTTGCAGGGTATACTCATTATCCAGCTCTGAGTGAAATTTTCATTTTCCACTTGGCTTATGTGGGAAAATTACTGAAAATTTCTTCCTAGCAATGACTATTTAAAAAGGTGTATTTTGATGCTAAACTTTAACATAATTATAGGGTTGCCAAATTGAAAAGACAGTTCTTTCTTTTCAAATCACCAGAAAACAGAATCCACACCTGTATGAAACTAAATAGTTGCACAACTTGACATGCCTTTGCAAGCTAGAACATTTTAACAGCCACTTTACTTCAATATGTAACACTAATTAGTTTACTATTTAATATTTTTTTTATCTATACAACTTCTCAAACTAAAATTTAAATTAAAATGAATTTTTTTTATCAATCTGATACACACAAATAGAATATTACTGAGATTTTTTTCCACAAGATGGTGTCCGTGTCATACACAAATAGTATGCATGTTGGGAACCTCTCCCTAAAGAAAGGAAGCAAATCCTTTGTAATGGTTAACCATTTGTGGTCACGACAGTTATATTGTTCAGTGGAATATCATATTTGTATAAACATTCCTCAAAGTATTCAAAATGTTTTATCCCGTTTTACATTGTATTTAAGATAACTTGTAAACTCAATAATTTGGTTTGAGGTTTGATTAAAATACTTGATTATAGGTCATAAGAATGTTTGAACTACCAAAAGTTGACTCATAAAATGGAAAATGCTTTATCTCAGATACAGCTTTAGCCATCTCATCATTACATCTTTGCACTGTTTCAAACAGATTCAATCTTTTTTTCATTATAGATTCAACCGGTACTTAATTACTTAATGATATTATAATCACTACTCTAATTGTCTTTTTTTTTTTTTTTTTTTTTTGCTATGTTGAGGGAAATATTTGAATTTCTTTTTCATCAGGGTTCATAGCATCATTGCTGAATACCCTTTCATATAGGAGGCTTCATTTCATTTGTAGTTAGTGTAAACTAAATGTTGTTGGCATCCTTTTAGGATCTTCAGCTGGTATAATAGTTGATAAATGTAAATGAATTTAGCCACCAGGCTACAGTAAACACATGTTTTTAAATTTCAAAACATAAAACAAATGTTTGCTTTCATTTTAAAACAAAAAGAGACCCTCAAGTATAGTTATTTTTTTATTTTGAAATGAAAGTAGAGAAAAATATTTTTTAATTTATTATATGTACTTCATGTAATTTCCTCGGAAAACAATTTTTAACTTGCAATTTCATCACTATCTATTAGAAGTACTATATCTGGCCTAATCAAGTGTCGCATCACTTTTGATACCTGTAAAGTATCCAAACAGCTAAGGGATTTCTGAATAAGACCAATAAAGAAATAAGTGCATTATAGAAAGAAAAAAAAACAAAAGAACCTGCATATGTGGTGTTTAAATGTTCTTTAGACTGCTTTTGTAAAAATATATAAAATGTCTCTCTCCTCTCTTGCTGTGTGTATTTGTATGCCTCTCTCACTGGATTATATATTTGTTATTATTATATATATATATATATATATATATATATATATATATATGTGGTTGAATTTAGCTAATCTACTGGGGTCCACTCACTTAGTAGTTTTAATGTTCGGGGTAATGATTTGAATCTGTTGGCATTTATTTTATCAGTATGAACAAAATAATTTTGACAGCAAATCAATATCTGAGGTGAGGGGAAACAGTTATATGAAAGTTTAATTTTGTACAATTTTATGGTGCTTTGGAGAAAATTCTAATATTTGTTGTATGGTAACCAGAAATATTTTGGGGAAACACTATAAAAATTTAACCAGAGACAGAAAGTAAGCTGCATTTCTAATGTAAATTTCAGAGTTGTTTTTTGTTCTCTCTTTGTTATTACATGCCTTCCTTTTTAATTAGGTAATTTATTTATGTATTTTAAAGATGAGTCCCTGCAAAAATTATTCTTTTTTTGCCACTACATTCTTTTTTTTTTTTTTTTTTTTTTTTAAACAAAGTACAGTAAGATTTGTACAGATTCTTTATTCTGGATTTTAAAAACATAAAAAGTAGCAAAAATGCTACAGGAGAATGACTTAAAAGTTGATTAATGCTGACTTGGATGCTCAAGTCATCAGTCAAAATGAAATTAAATGTGTTACAAAAAAAAAACAACAGTCATCAGAATACATGAGAATCAGCATGATAAAAAGGGAAGTAAAAATAAATTCAACTCACTAGTGCATTCACTTGGATACACTTGCAAGAAAAGCTAAACATGTGAAATAACTAATATTACAATGCCTATTTTGGAGGATTACCAACATCAATCCTCTTCTCAGCACCTCCCCCAGGTTCAGATATCACCAGGTGTAGACTTATAGATATTAATTTAGATTGCATGTGCATTTTGGGAGTAGATTTACAGGTAAAGTTGAATAGTTACTTTTCCAAATAGTTTTAGGAAATGCTAAATGTAGACAGAGTAAGCTAGTGTTGCAGAATGAGGATTTTATCATAAAGAAGTCCAATAAGGGTCAGCTGGTTTTATGACTAAGTTGTGCTTGTATCAGTGATACAGTAAATGCATTATTTTTCCCAACACCAATAACTTTCACTATTTTGTGAAAATATTTTCGTTAAATTCAACCTATGTGCCGCTGAGTGATTGTGCTTTTTTTTGTTTTTGTTTTTTTTGTCATGTACACACACATTGATAGAAAATAAAATTGTGACACCCTGAATATGTTTACTCCACTCATGGTTAAACATACAGGTAATATAGTGTGTGTATAATAAAATACACAAAACAGGCTCCAAAATAAGGAATAAATCAACTGTATACTCAGACTCCATATTAATACATTTATATTGTTCTGTGCTATTGCAAGCATACAATTATATAGATGTGGGATACCATCCTGCAATATATTAAAGCTCTAGCACCTTTTGATATCTTACAAATATTATAGGTGGATTAATTGAATGAGCAGGGCTTGTGCCATTCATGTTCAATGAAGACTGGTCTAGTAATTGTGCTGGCCAGAGAATTTGTCAAACATCTTGCAGTAGCATAAGGATAATTATCCTGTTGGAACACAGGAATAGCAGCAAATAAATTTTGGCTACTATTCAGTGTTTCTTCCATATACTCCAAATGCAAGCAAGACTTATGGCACCCTACACCATGATGCCCTGAGTTGGGCCTGTGTGTCATAAGTGAAGACACATTTGATAATGTCGTTCCCTGGAGCAACAGTCAGATAACTATCACTTGCATAATGGTAGCAACTACTCTCCTTGCTAGAAATATGCGCAATAATTTTTTTAACATGATGGACCTGTAATCCTGCTACATGTAAATATTTGCTAGCCATCTTTGAAGACTCTCCTGGTCTGCAGTTGCACTAAACTGAGGTGTGAATGCTCTACCATCCGTCATTGCTGCCTTTACAATACGTAAGTTTTGGCAAGTGTCTATACTATATGACTGCAGAACTGGGTCAACAGATATAGGCAAAAGCTCAACCCCCTCTAAATTGGCTCTTGCTGAACAAAAAGAATGCCTCTGCATCTTCATGGCACAATTCCTTATTGTAGCCGGTGTCACCTTTTCAGGTTCATACACAGATGGGACACTAATATGAGAGTTACTAGGTCATAAAATGGTCAAAGACTTTTTTCTGTTTTGTCAGAATACTTACTACTATCTAGCATGCACAGATCAAAATCTGTATCATCTTTCAGGGTGTTGTAGTTGTATTTTCCTTGAGTGTATGTCTCTCTCTCATATACGCACATTTATATTTAAATAAAAATCTGTTTTCATATCTCTATATCTCTTTGTCATGCAGTTTTTTTTTTTTTTTTTTTCCTCTCCCACAAACAGCATATAGGTGCTGGTTGTTTGTACCTGGCTGCCAAAATCGAAGAACAGCCCCGTAAACTGGAGCATGTAACAAAAGTGGCCTATATGTTGCAACATAGAGATGGGACTCTAGACACCAAGGGAGAAGTAAGATTTATTTTAACAATTTATACCTGTATACAAAATCACACTTGAAAATGTGAATGACAATACCTTAAAACTCTAAAAGCTTCTCAGATATAATTAAAGATATACATTCAAGTCAGATAACTAGGAAATATTTTACCAGAAGACTTATTTTCCTCTTGATATGAACCTAAAAGAAAATGGCAGATTTGTTCATAAAGAATTTTTTTTTTCTTTGTATGCTACTGATACTGTTAGTTTTGCAGTCTTTCCTATTTTTACATTATTCCTAACCAATTTTTTTTATCAACAACTTTTGCATAAAAATTGAATTTGTATAATTTAGTGTTAAATTAGTTATCCTAAACTAAAAAATTTTTAATATTTAAAAACCTGTAACACAGACTTGAACAGATTGACAAAACATAAAAAAAAATGGTACTAAATTTATTTTGGTTGCTCAATTAACAAGAAGTTATGATCATTCAAACTATTCCAGCACTAGATGCTATTGGGCAAGAAGCCCAATATATATCATATTATATAATATATACGTATAACTGAAGATGTAGGCTTCAAACAAATGAAAAATCATAAATGTAATGTCGGTAGGTAGTCTTGAATTAAAAGAAAGATAATGCTAATGGAATCGGTAATTAGATCGAATAAGTCTAAAAGTTGTGGAAAATTGTTATCAAAAATGAAATAGTTTTTTTTTTTTTTTTTTTTTAATATACCCTCCTGAACTTGACATCGTGCAATTTTTGACTAAAAAAAAAATGGGCAGTAATGACCACAAAACTTAAAAATTAGTCTCATGAAAGAAATTATTGGTTAATCCTTCAAACATGCTTATTGTAATGTTTTATATTTATTTTTCAAACAAAAAAAAAATTTTAACAATGATTTATTGAGACTTAAGACATTCTGGAGACAAAGAAATGATCCTTTCTGCACTTCCTCTCCTAATGTTGATTTGCAGTTTGAATTTGTTTATAAGCCTCTATTATAGCCAATATTCCTGAACACTCCATACCTTTTCATCACTTGAAAGTAGCATGATATCAATGTCCCATCTAAAAAACAAATATTGACTCTACTTGCATAATATCAAAAGAAAAGAAAAAAAAAAGGCCATCAAAAATCATCAATTTTGCCTCTTGGAGCTAAAAACTTGATTACAGCACTGGACAGTGATGTAATATCAGTGACTTTATCAATGTAAAAGTTGATATCATAGTACACTACAACCTTATTGGCCTTTGATGCTTGTAACTGAAAGTGATCCAAGATGGTGATTCTTTATCACAATTTCTAGAGTTTTTTTGAATATCATATATACTCATGTATAGTGCAATCCCCTGTTTTTATTTATTTTTTTTTTTTCCTCTATATAGCTTGGAATCTGAGCAATACTCGTATGTCATATATTGCAGTACTGGGCATCATCATGGACATGTAAAGCAAATAAATGATCTTTTTTATTATATATATATATATATATATATATATATATATATAGCTATCCCAAAATGGTGAGGAAAGCCACCTACTATAGGATATCTGATACAAAGATTTAGATACCATACTTTTGTTTTTGTTCATGCCTGACTACAGTAGCTCTTTTACTCTGGGCTTCCTTTTTGTCAGTACATGAAGACCAAAATCTTGTCCACCATATAGTTCAAGGTATAACAAACTACATCCGGCATTGATGGTTTTGAGGTGTGTTGGGACTACCTCGTAATTGTTGTTGTTCCCAGGTCCACGCTAACCAAAGGTGGCAACATCTGGTAGGGCCCCAGTTATGGGCAAATAGTGAGCACTATGAAACTGTAAAAATAGGTACTTCCACAAGATCACTAAAAAAAAAAAGAGCCTATCATGATGAAAAAGATGCCAAACTTGACAAAAACAAAATTTTATCGTCTAAATGTTTATTATTAAGAGGAAAGATCAGTATTTTGGGGGTATTCTTTTACATTTTTTTAATTGTTCCTAGCATGTCTGAAATTTTTGTTTAAAAAAAATTTTTTTTTTTATTTATTTAGCAAAAATAACTGAAAATTGATCATGGCAACCATTTTTTTTATTTCAAAACTTATTTTAAGAAAATCAGAAATTGTTTATTTAAAATATTTTGAACCAAGCTTAACTTAGCTTCTGCACTGAAAAGATGTAATTTGGAAATAAAACAAAGTAGGTCATAACCTTTCGCATCACTTGAGAGGTGATGAATGACATATTGATGGATTACATGAGGATAATTTGTTCTACGGAAGGAGAAAAGTGAAATTATTTAGATTTAAGTGAACAAATTATTTACCTTTTTAAGGAAAACTTTCAGCACTCTAATTTTTTGTTTTGTTTTTTGTACTTAGCTTTCACCTTTACGCTTACGATGCTTTATGGAAAATATATTATAAAGAAAATAAAATAAGACTGTTAAGAGTGAGATTAAATTTCATAAGAAAGGTATCTAATTTATAGCTACCTTTCTTATGACATTTTATCAGAAGTGTACATAAATTACTATAATTTTATGTACATTTACTACATTTTACTGTGTTATTTGTATTTCCATTCATTTTATTTTGATATTTCATTTATGGAAAAAATGTCATAACTGAGATTAATATAAAAATAAGATCATATAAATTTCATAAGATGATACTGATACTTGTAGATACCCTTCTCAGTTGAAATTGAAAAATCAAATTAACTTCTCCAAGTGTTTTGCAAAAGTAAAGGCCTTAACAGCAGAGAACAATGCTTAACTGAAATAACCCAACTTAATTATATTCTGGTTGGTTTTCTGTACTTCATAATTACAGCCTGATTATAAACACAAAATTACATTTCTTAATTACTGCAGGTCTTCTGATTAGTCAAAACGATACAATTTACAATGCGCTAAAAAAAAGCAATCTATCTCATAAGGACACTTACAAAAGTGGATGCGGCTTTTAACTAATTTTATATTTTAACGACTTAAATGTAAAATCTATTATAATTAAAGAAATAAATAATGTATTAAAAATTCAGTTTTCAACAGAAAAATGTTTTGCTTTCAGAAAATATTGTCCATATTCATAAAAGCAAATAAAAGCATTTGAAATTAAATAATATATTTGTTTTATTGAGTTTTGTATGTTACAATTCAGAGCTGTTTTTCAGATTTGGGGGGGGGTGTCCAATTAAAAACAAAAAAAAACATGATTTGCATTCCTCAAAGCCTTGTGCTTTTAACTATTGTAATTACTAAAGTGGACTCGATTGAATTTCTAGAGTTTTCATAAAATTAGTTGGGGTGGAGTAATATAAAAAAAAAAAATTCTGCCATGACTTTAATAAAAGAAAACATGATAATTTCGATCATCTGTGAAGAGTTTCTGAAAGTTTCATTAACATCCTACAATTATTTTTATTTTTGCAATATTTTCCAAATTAATGTGTGTCATACAAAAAAAAATGTGCTAAAAATTGTATATGTCATTTTACTAGTTGCAGTGATACAAAGAGAAACAAGGATTTTAAAATCAAAATTCAGAATGTTCTAAAAAAAAAAAAAGGAAAAATTAAAAAAAAAATAATTAAAATAAACTTTGATCTTTCATCTTAATAATAACATATTTGGACGATAAAATTTTTCTGTCAAGTTTGGCATCTTTTTCATTATGATATACTCTTTTTTTTTAGCGATCTCATGGAGGTACCTATGTAAAAAGAATTACCAACAATACATTTTATCTGTAGTTGGGGGCACATATAATTGCATTCAAAATATATTTAGTTGAAGCGATAAAATTGTGTTCAAAATATTTAGATTTCAGCATTAAATAACCCATAGAGGTTGATATGCTGCTAAGCAAAATCAACCAGCCCGTCATCCACTGTGTAGGCCACTTAAAATCAAATACTGTATATAAATAAAGAATTAATAGATTTTTCCTATCACCAAATTTGTCTTCGTCTTTGTTTCAAAAGTGTCTGTATTGCTGAGGTATTGCCTTTCCAGTGATGACCTTTTTGCCAGCATTACCTGTATCTAATGCTAAAGGAGCTTTACTGTTGAGGTTATCCAAAGGTACCATGATAATATGTGCCTACTAGGTACATTACAGTCACTGAAACTGCATCAATTTTAACCCCTCCAGAAAAAAAATTGTGTACAGTGCAACCACCATTTTGCATGTAGAAAAAAAAAAAAAAAAAAAAAAAAAAAAAAAAAAACTTATAAAACCTTGCATTATACTTGAGTACATACAGCACTCAAATTCATTGAATGCTTTTTTTTTTACCCTTCCTTCTTAGAGGTGGAGATGAAGTTCCATTAAAATTTACATCACTTTAGTGTCTCCTTTAACCATTAGCAACTTTTTCATACATTGCAAGGAATTTTGTATTTTTTTGCTTCACTTAAAAGAAAATTCTCTCGGGGTCAAGGTGTGAAGTTCATCATCCATTGATTAAATGTAAATTTTTCTTAAAAACCCAGGTAGGGGTCTATGGTGTAGAAAACACTTGTACATAAAAACAAAAATTAGCAGATCCTCTATTAAAAAAAGGCGTTGTGCATATCTTGCAAAACAACTTTAAAAAAATATATATTCAGAAGTGCACAAGATATTTTTTTTTTTTTTTTTTTTTTTGTGGGCATGTATCTAGCATTTTCTTTTTAATTTCCATAATAGGACCTAATACCTAGAATTAATAAGTCATATTAGGTTCGTAAAATATCCAATTTTAGAATAAACCTTTTGTGTTCTAATATATTAATATAATAATTGCACAAACATATATTACTCGTTCCTAATGGCTAAAGTGTTCTCTTTGTTAATTTTATGTCGAACTTTCTGAATTTAACTTAAAACATTATATACCCCTCATCTTGAACATGAGAAAAGTGCTTACTTTTTTTTTCTTTTTTTTTTTTTTCTTTTTTTTTTTTGCACAAGCTTGGTCGTTAATGCTTCTCAAACTGCTACCAACATAAAGAGAGCATGGGCCAAGGCATTCACTTGTGATCAGAGAGTACAGCATTGGTTTCTAAAGTTCCATCATAGCAGTAAGTGTACTGGAGATCAAGGTAGTAGTTGTCCATCAGGCGATCAGCATCTCAAAATACTAGTCAAATAAAACCCACATCAAAGTGTCAAATGTCTTAATAGGTGTTGATATTTCAACAATATCAGAGCATTTCAAGAAAATTAGCAAGGTGAAGAAACTCAGTAAATGAACTCAGTGGGAGTCAAAGAGCTTGATATTTTGAAGTGTGTTCGATGCTGCATCTGCAAAATTCAATTTATTCATTTCTTGATTGAACAGTGACAAGAAATGGATTCTTTAGCCAATCATAAAAAATCGGTTCATTGACTTGATTGTGACAAAAGACCCATACACTTACCAAAACCAAAATTGCAACAACATAAGATTATGGTGATTGTCTGGTGGTCCACAATTGGTGTTATCCATTATGGTTTTTGGTAATGTAACCAGAGCATCACTGCTGAAGTTTACTGCTAGTTAAGTAAAATGCAGCCAGCACTGATTGACAATCCAATTCTGCTTCATAACAATGCTCAATTACATGTTGCCAGATTGACACTACAAAAGCTCACTGACTGAAGATACAAGACTTACTACATCTACCATATTATCCTCATCTCTTGCTCACTGACTACCACTTTTCAAGCATCTTACCCCCTTTTTTTTTTTATACACAGAAAGATATCCTGTTGCAAGCAAGATTCAGAACCTGCATTCTCAGCATCAAAGTTTTTTGAGTTTTATCATTAAGGTATAAATATGACAAATGTATAGCTGTTCAGGGTTTCTACTTTGACTGATTTAAACACTTTAGATACATTAATTCAAATTGGACATTATTTTCCAAAAAACCTAATGGTTTAAATTTGATAGTACACTTAAATTGAACAAATTTTTAAAAAGTGCAGTTGTGATAATCTATCACAAATGCAATTTTTAAAAATTTATTTACAAATTGTAGTTTATTTGTTTGAAGTTTTAGACTCAAATCAGATGTGCCCAGCATGCTCAGAAAACAAGTTTTGGAAATTTTTATCCTAACATCAAGTGACACAAAACAGCAATCTGTATAGATACATCATTCGAGCTCAGGACCCTAATTATTAAAAAAAAAAAAAAAAGTTACTATAAATAATCATTTAAAATTATGAATATGAATTAACAAAAAGAAACTTAGTCTGTGTTAAAGTTGTTGTTTTTTTTTCTTCTTTTTTTTTTTTTTTTCTTTTTCTCTCACTCTCTCTCTCTGTGCGCATGTCAAAAAATGAGTTTTGAACCTTTTAAAAAGACAGTCAATCAGTTATTGGGGCAAGTCATGACAATTTTGTTTCGTTTCAATAAAGTCTTTCTGCTTTTTAAGCTTTCATAACCTTTTTTAACATGCAAAAAAGAAGTCACTCAGCAGTGGAAGTTTTAAAAATATACAAAATTCTGATAAAAATTTGTGCAGGTCTATTGTTTAATGTTATTTTACGATCCTTGTTTTTCTCAGCACGTTTGATTTATTTTTGTTTTATACACAAAGTATTTCAAATCATTGCAGTATTTTTCAAAACGATATTGAATGTATCTGTTGACAATTCTTAGTTTTATGCTAAATCATAATGATTTATTTTTTTTATTATTTTTTTTTCTCCAATAGTAATCAAGATTACTATCATTTATTTGTATTTCATCTTTGGGGATACAAAAATTTCCCTTGACCTTTTTTATTATAAACTGTTCTGTTTAAGCGATGTTCTTCATTTTATCATACATGATTTTTTTTTTTTTTTTTGTTCCTCACAAGCTATTAATGCCAATTTTGCAGACAGCTTTCTGCCATTAATAATTAGAAAATTTGTGTTTTTATTTTTTTATTAGCTCATTAGAAACCTTTCATTTTTATAAAGCCTCTTAAATGGACATTGCTATTTTTTTTATTTTTTTTATTTTCTAAATACTTACAATATCTATTGTTTTTCAATACTTCATTACATGTTACTGTCACTATATTTTCCAATTACTTCAATTGATTCCATCTCTTTTCTCTGTTGCTTCATATTTTGCAGTCAAGCACATAATCTGCATTAAATGTGTTTTAACAAATTCCATCTGTTTATTCTGTAACTTTGTATTATCTTTAGCTTTTGTAATGTCAGATCTTACTATTTGCTTTCATGAGATTGCTATTGTATGCAGTATTGTCTTAAACTGCATAAGAACACTCCTTAAACAATATTGTATAGTAAAATGAAACCAAAAGTACTTTTGGTTATTGTTTTTCTCATTTAAAATTACTTGGCGCTATTTCACACACCCCACTCCTCTTTTCATGGCATTAGCTTGTTAATCTTAATACAGTTGTGTGGAAAGTAATCCCAAGCATTAAAAAGAGGAGGTGCATTTTGGAAGAAGTATTTTTTTTATTCACCATTTTACTATATTGTGATAAAACCCTTTGATCTCAATGTTCAAAAGCAGCAATTGAAATCTGAGAAAAAAGATTTACTGTGCTATTTCAATCAGTTTTTTAAGGAGAACTATCATTCAGTGCCATAATTTCATTCATGTTCTCTGGTGGATGAAATAATATTTTGTGTATGTGTCAGTCTTTACTGGTTTACATTGTATCGTTTGCATACAATATATAACTGCAACAGTATTCCGTTGCAATTTTTGTGCAAGTTGTTAAAAGGGACCAAATTAAAATAACCACTATTTTAATATGAAGTCCAGCATCAGACTCAATTTATAGATTTGTTTTTGATTTATGTCAAAAATGTTAGTTTTTTACCTTATACTCTTTAGTTATAAATTGAGTTTGGTCTGTACTTTGGAGATTAAAGTTGTATTGAGGTAGTCTTATATATATATATATATATATATATATATATATATACACACACACAACACACCATGGAAAAGCAATATTTTTTTTCTCTTATTTTGCTGTCTCTCTCTCTCTCTCTCTCTTCACATACATTTTCAACTTTGAACATACCAGAACATAAAATTCAATGATGTAATCAATTTCATCCCCTTGTGTATTTAATAACTTCAAATATTCTATCTTTGCTTATTTTTCTCTCCAGACATATTTAATGTTGAGCACTGAACTAATTAAAAATGAAAATATTCTGCTGCCAACTCTAGGTATGTAGTGTTCATTATTGTTTATGCTGTACTTGTTTCTTTCTGTAAATATATGGTGCATCATTTGCTTTACTGATTATTTTTTTTCCAAAAGATTGAATGAGATTTGGTCTGTAATAATTTAAAATCCCTATTATATTTGTGAAACTTTTTTTATTATTGTTAGTGCATATCATTTGATTTTAAAGTATTGATTAATATTAAATTTCAAATATTACTATCATTATGAAACTAAATATTTGAGACTGGATAGCTTTCAAGATGATAAAAAGTAATTTTGCAAATGCATGTAAATTGTCAAAGCTTAATCTATACTAAATAATACTACTACTTGTATGAACAGCAATTAATTCCTTCTTTTGGCACTATAACTACTGTTCAGGTGATCATTTTCACTTTCATTGCACTTTGCAATATTACATTCTTCAACAGATTACCTATATAGTCTGTTTCTATATTTCAATGTAAATACTAATTGATTTTTTTTTTTTTTTTTTTTTTTTTTTCAGGATTTGATTTGATGGTTGATCATCCACATACTCATGTGGTTAAAACCTGTCAAATGATAAAAGGTAAGTGGTGAATATTATTTTGATAAGATTTCAAAATCTGAAACCCATTCTTCTCTCAAACAATATGCCTCCTATCTTAAGTATATTAGTACTTTTTTCCAAGTACTAAATTGTAGATGTGGGCATAAAAAAAAAAAAAATCTCAGTTTCATATGAAAACTTAACCAAAGTGATTTTTTTTTTTTTTTTTTTTTTTTTTTTTCATGGAAATTTAAAAATGACTAAAATCAATTTTTGGCAATATTTTATATTTAATTTTTAAAATTGGAGACTGTTACAGAGTTTCCTCAAAAGATTGATATTACACTGGCATGTCAAAAATCATAGGATAGATTCCAGTTATCACTTGAAATTACAGTATATCCACAAGTGGTTAAAAGGCCTATGTAGATATGTTTTTACTGTTCTCTGACATTTATAGGTGCAGTATCATATATGTGAATAGACCACTTCATCATATCTCATGAATGTTTGATTGATAACCCATCATTGTTGGGATATGTGGATTACCATGAAGGATTGTAAAAAAGCAGTCACTGGTTGATGTGTTTAGGTAGTCAGGTGGACTCAACCTATGTCATGTGAATATATGCCACACCATTATGGAACTGTCACCATCCTGCATGGTTCCTTGTTGACACCAACAACTTACCATCAGTTCATAGCAACTGGAATTATGACACATATGCACAGCATCTGCTGCCAGTCTTCTATGGCATCATTATCTCTGTGGTCCTAGTTGTGATGATGATTAGGGCTCTCTAGTGGGTTGTTTGCTACCATATATCATAAATGCTAAAGAACGTTGAACTTTTTGGAAATGCATCTGGTAGCTCCTCCATTACATGTAGATATTTGAGCCAGTGTTGCATATGTTGTTAGACAATTTTAACTAGACCCATGTGATCATGGTCATTAAAGACCTACTGTAAGCTACCATATTGTCCAATAGAGCAGGTAAATTTTATCCCCCCCCCCATCAACTTTGGACAAGTCTAGATAGTTTGGACTTAATGAGATAAAAACTCCCAAATTTTAGGTTCCTAGCTTTAAACTAAATGAGGAAATGCAATCAAAAATCAGCTTTGAAAATGCATTTAAAAAGCCATTCATTGATTGAAAAATGTGATTACTTCAACAGTAAATAAGTTTCCTATTTTAATAAATAAATTTTAGATTACATGAAAACTAAATCAATTCAAATATTAAAATAATCCTATCATCAAAATTTTCCATGTAAGAGCCTTTAAAAACAAAGAAAGGTCTTAGTTGATGACAATAAGGTTTTTGCAAGAATGTCTGTCTTGCTTCAAATACGTAAACATGAGAAGATTCTGATGTTCATTTCACTGCTCTTTCAACACTCTGAGAATGTGGAGGAAAATCGGGCAACTCTAATTTTCTTTTATTTATGATACTTGAGTTTCATTTTCTGATAAATATTTCACAAATTCCATTTTGGAATAGGTTGATTATTTCTGACCAATGCAAGGCTTCAAAGTTGATAGCTGATAATTTATTCAACCACTTCTAAATTGATAAAAAAAACAATTTCTATTTTAATTAAACAATCCATGACCAACAAATAGAACTTAAAAACTATCCTTTGAATCTAGATAAATTAGTCTATTTATTTAATGGACAGAATTTTCTCTAGCTACTTTTTCCACTTTCAATTCTTCTGACTTCATTGAATACAACACATTCTCAGGTAATGGAACAAACATTATAATGGATGTTCTTGAATGCAATATTCTGAATTTGTTCAGACTATTTCTTAATCCTTTGCTTCATATTGAATATATACATCTGCTGGTTATGGAATTTGCCATCCCCCTTTATTTCAAATCAGCTAACTGCATGCACTTTAATAATGAATTTAATAAGTTGGTGATGGGTATGTACCTCTGACCCACATACACATTAGCCTGGTTGTTAAAGTTAACTCTGTTGCATTACTTGATGTTCCAATTTTTCAGGCAGCAAATGCAGAGTTAACTTTACCTTTGGGAATCCCTAGAGTATATTCCAAAAGGAGCCCTTTTTACTATAGGTGCCATATTATCAAGAGGGCCACTGATTTTCATCAGTTCTACTTGTGGCAAATTATGATAGCTCTTTTCACAAGTTTGCCTTAGTGGGCTTGTAAAAGCACTCAGGCTTCTTGTGCCACCAACATATTTAAAAACAGCTCTGAATGGTAGCTCATTCAGATGTAATGACGAGCCACTTGTATGTAATTTTTAATGGAGTTACTTCTCCAGAGCAGTTACATTCAGTATTTATATTTGTGTTGTCCAGAAGAACAGCCTTAAGACTGTCTACACTATCAAATTCTTCCAAAACCCTAAAAGCTTCTTCTGTTAGAATAACACCAGTGGCACCTGTAGTTGGAACTATTCTATGAGTCAGGTATTTTCCTGTCTCTTGAGTAAAATTTTTTTTCTTTCTTTTTAGATTAATATCACAAACATTTGAAAAAATATTTCTTTAGAAAAGAATAATAAATTAAACTATACTGACAATTTATATTTTACTTTAAAAAAAAATCTACATTTAATATCTTTTTATTACAATGTATTTTTTAAAAGAACCCTTTATTTCGCTCACTGGGCAAAATAAAGGGTTCAGTTCGACCTTCCAACTAACTGAAGAAGGCCAGAGCATACAATGGCCGAAATGTTGTAATAAATATGGTGACAAAGATGAGGACAATAGTTCGAATAATGTAAATAATGAATTGAAGGAGGTTGATCTGTCTGGTGGGAAGAGGTATTTAGATCTGGATGAGTATAAGGAGTCGGTGGGAGGGATGTCTGAACGTGGCAAGATATAAATATATATGCTAGAAATTCTTCCTGGCAAAAATGTTTTCAATATAAAATCTTGTTCACTTATTAAACTTCATCAATACAATGATATTAATAATAAAGTATAGTATCACATTGTTGTAGAAATGTCTTTTTTCTTTGTGCTTTTATGTGCAAACGGAATGTCATGAAATGTTACCACAAGCAAAATAAAATTGAGGCCTAATACAAACTTCACTGAAAACCTTTTTGTCTAAACATTGTTCTTGATACTTAAAGGCTCTTAATATATTAATATTTATGCTACTGAAGTGTGTTTTAAGGCATGAGTGATTGCTTGAGGAAATTTAATCTTGTATTGAATTTTTTTTTTTTTTTTTTTCCCTCTTTAGCCAGCAAAGATCTTGCACAGACCTCCTATTTTCTGGCAACTAACAGGTAATCAAAATACTGAATATCTTGTATATCTTTTAATATTCTGATGTTGGTTAATTGTTTGAATAAATTTGCATTGAAAGCTTTTTTTTTTTTTTTTTTTTTTTTTTTTTTTTTTTTGATTGTATTTTTACAGCTTGCACTTGACTACAATGTGCTTAAAATATCGACCAACTGTTGTTGCTTGTGTCTGTATTCATTTGGCCAGTAAATGGGGCAACTGGGAGGTTAGTATTTTTTTTATTTTTTGTGTATCTGATTAAGTTTTAATATTTGCCTGAAACTAATAATAATATATTACTTTGGATGAATTGTTACGAAACACCAAAATTTCTATTTTAACTCTGCATAAAAATAATCTTATTTTAGTGTAACTGAAGGTCAGGTTTATTGGATGAAACAGCAATATCAGCATTTTATACACAGCTTTGTTTGTCTCTGTTCTGCTAGGAATGAATTTAACCAGAATTTATCATTGTTTATATGAAGTCTGTTTAAAAATAATTCAGATGTTGAAAAGCCTGACATTACAGAATAACCATAAAAATCTAGTCTATACTTTTAGTAAATTTTGTAATGTGTAAAAATAGGTTTTATAAATACTTTTAGTAAATTTTTATTTCTAAAGGCACTTGTATAATTTAGTATTTCTTCTGAAAGCTATATAGCAATTGAAACTTATTGTAATTATTTAAATCTCTCTTTTTCAGCTCCAATCGTCTGCTGAAGGAAAGCCATGGTATTCATATGTGGATAAATTTGTAACTCCCGAGCTTCTAGAAGGTAATGGAATTTACAGTGGCTTCCTACCTTTGATCCAGCAATACTTTCCCTTATTTTTATGCCAATTCTCAATCTTCCAGAAATTATGAAACATGCACATAGTAGTTCCCTTAAAATGACTACCACATTCCAAATCCATCCAATTTTTTCACATCTGATGGTATTTTGGTGTGAAAACTCACATTACTTAGGATTTGTATTTCACCTGGTCAGACACTTGAAACTCTGCCAATATAGTTTGTGTTTGTTCCAGTTTTTAGCATCGTACATTGCTGTGAAAACACTTCCATGTTTATTTTGGTGTTATTTTCAGTTTCAGATAACCAATGAATTTGCTTTGAGCTTCTTTTGAGCTGATCATTTGTTATCAAAAATCTGAGTGTTGTTCTTTTGTTACATGCATTCACAGTCTCTTTCTCTCAAGGTTCTAATTTGTTTGGATTGTATCGGAATATTGTAAGCATGGAATATTCCTTTGTACTATATGTAGCATTACCACTTCAAATGAAATCAAAATTAACTTCTCTCCCTCTTAATTACAACTTCAAAAAAATTAGATCTGATTAAAACAGTTTAAATTCCTCAATTTTAACTCCATCAAATGAATTTTCTTTTTCCATCTGGAAGTGAGAGGTTTTTTGTCATGATTTTTAACTGTAAGCAAAATTCAGTTGGCATGTTAGGGGAAAATGCTTTTTAAGACCTATCACTGGAGAAGGATATGAATTATGATCCATCATATACTGGTAAGTTATATTTTCAGTTTTATTCCTTATCTTGAAATATTGTCAAGTTCTGATCATCTACATTGATCAACTAAAACATGACCACCTACTTAATAAGGTGTTGGTCTTCCATTTGCCTGCAAAACAACTCTTATTGTATCAAGCATAGACACTACAAGACCTGTCAAGATTTCCTCTAGGATCTGGTACCAGGATGCTGATAGCAGGTCACTGTTACAAATTACATGATGGGGGTTCTGTGAAGAAAACCTGTTGGTTCAAAATATCCTGCAAGTGCTTGAAGTTTGGTGGTCAGAGCAACAAAGTGAAATCTTTTAATATTGGCACCCTTTCTGTACAACTTGCAACAGCATGTTGGCCTAGTGAATGATGCCACTGATATTGTAGAAGACTGATGTTATAAATGGTTGTATTTGGTTTTTAATGTATTTTTAATATATTGAATGATAAGGCCCAATGTTTCAGAGTGGAATGTTCCCAAGGTGAATAAAACACCATAACCTGCTGCTGTCAACATTAGTCAAGAGAAAGTCATCAAACAAGGTAACCTTCCATTGAAGGTCCAATTCCAACACTCACATACCATGTGACCTTGTTGTACCCACTGAAATCAATTTCTCATGGTCAAACATGTCTTGATAAAATGTAAGAAGCAGAAAAAAAAAAATACATATTGCCAAGCATGAAATCTTAATATACTCTTCAAAAAGGTACACACTGCCCAAATAATAGAATGTCTGAGGGGGAAAAAGAATACTTCCAACTTTTATAGAAAATAGAGCTTGGATTTTGAACCATACAACTTAAGTTTTGAAATACTCCCAAAACATGCAGCATGAGACATTTTGAACTATACAGCTTGTGATGTTTTGGAAACATTTAAACCTCGCAGCCACTTAAAGTGTTTTGAAGCATTGCTTAATAAAAATCCAATTTCAGCATTAAATGATCCACAGGAGTTGATATGCTGGTAAAACAAATAAACAATTATTCAATCACATGCCATGTGAAGACACTTTTGACAATTGTTGGTTAGCATGGGTGTTCTGGCCTGCAGCTATGCAGTAAAGATCAACATATTGTGTGCTGTGATGCATTCCTTCCTCAATCTTCCTTTATAAAGCTATCTGAAATTTGTGCCACTGTAGCTCTTGGGGAAAAACCTCCATTTACTTGTTAATAACATTGATTGCCTAATACCTTACTGGAAGTTGTTTTTTTTTTTTTTTTTTTTTTTAACAACATTCTCCCTTGGCCTATTGTTAATAGTTACTCACCAAGTTGATGTGAGCACCCTACACACTACTGTTTCAGGAAATGTTATGTTCTTGTTTTCTGATTATAACAATTTGGCTTTATGAAAGTCATTCTGATCTTGTTCATAAGTGATGTTCAAGGCATCAAAACTATTTACTCAAAGCCAGTTTACTTGTGACCCTAATGTGCAGTTATGAGACAGTTGCTGTCATTCTTGCCTCATGTTACTGATGATGTTTTGAGCATTTTAATGACTATTGATGAAAATCAGATTAAAGGTTCTATAAATGACACTTTATATAACTTTCCTCCAGAACAGCATGCAATAAACTTGCTCAAGAAATTTTCCATAAACACCTATAAAATCGAGTAAACTTCAGAATAATGTTACCTATTCCTGTGTGCAAAAGAAAAAACAATTTGCCAGGTAACTGACCAGTGTCTCTACATGATTTATAAAGCAGTGATAGATACAATGAGCCCTTTAAGAAATCCAGCTGATGACATGTAGATGTCATAATTGTTAAAGATAAATGAAATCACTGACACATAAAACATGCAAATTAAATTTTACAATTAGGGAGATGAAGATAAGAAGTCTGCTTTTAATATTTGGGGATATTTCATTGTCTTCTACTAATTCTCATGAAAGGTCTGATAAAACTTTCTCTCCGGAGACCAGAAACATTCAGACCTACAATAACCAAGATAACACTTGCTAACTGATATATCTACTTAGAAATCACTGGTTTAATACACTCTTTTCCCATAAGAGCTTTATGATTGAATAAAGTTTGATTTCTAAAAAATATTCTAGTGAGAGATAACAATGTAACAGCCTGAAATGAACGTTTTTTTTTTTTGTTTTTTTTTTTGTTTTTCATGAACTCACTTCTTACATTCATCCTAAACACTACCATGTCACAGAATTTGTAAATTGACCAATTACAACACATCTACATTTTTTTTTATTGGTACATTGAACAGAGTTTTAATAAATTATTGTGGAAGTAAGTTTCTTACAATGAGCTTCTGAGTGATAGAATACAAAAAAAAAATTCAATATATCAATATAACTGCTTCATCCTCAAAATATCTTAAAAATGCAAAATTGAGTCTATACTGTTGTGTTTTGACAGCCTCACAAGAAAAGGCTTTGTTCAGAGAATCAGTTGTAGATTTGGCAGGACAGCTGGTGAAGACATTACTACGGTCAGGTATATTTCAGTAGTGTGTGTATAAATATGTATTGGTCATGTAGGTTGCGTGACAATGGTTTGTCTGCTCTTTACAAAATTATTTATATTGAGATAAATTGCACTTCTATATATTGTATTTTGCAGCATATGACACACAGTTCTGTCCTTGAAATTACACACTCTTATACAGTAAAGATCAGTCTTGGGTTAAACTTAGGATGAATCTTTCCCAACTAAGATAGGTTCAAAGTGTAGAAAATTTCCTGAATTTTTATGAAAAAAAATTAGTGTCTTATACACAGTACCTAGACAATAAAAGGAACTGAAGTACCTTTTTTATGTTTTACTCTTAACTAGTTCCTTTGATCAGGTAATACAATACTGTTTCTTTAACCAAAATAATTAATCCTTCACTACCATACTTTATTGCAGTAATACAGCATCTACACTATAAGGCCTAATCAGTTCCCTTCAAGTAAGTGATCCATGCCTCTATTCTAGCAACATGATACATCAAGTGCTATTGTACATATTGGGTCCATAAACCTTCCAGGAAACTTCTAGGAGTTTTAATTATATTGTGTGCAGGGACTTTCATACTTTTAATTTTCTCCCAGAACTCACAATCGAATTCTTGGAGGTTCTTGATGGCTGCCCAACACGATTAAAGAAAAGGATTATGACATGGAGGGTAAGTTAACATTTTCTTTTCAACTTAACTAAAAAAAACTGAGAATGGAAATTATAAATTTGGAAGATTCTCTTGTCTTTGTAATGAAATAAGTGCACATTGTTATAAGAGTACCAAGTGTGGCACATGTATAGCTGAAATAAACCATATTAACTTGCACTGCAATGAAAATTATAAATATTTATATAATCTATAGAATTATTATTTCACACCCCATCAAGATGCCAACTATCAATCTTTTTTAATATTAGAAGAGTGCTTTAAGCTTCTGGAGTAAATAAAACCAATGGCGGGGGGAAAAGTCTATTATTAATTAGCTTCTTTTTTTTTTCTCCCCAACTCCTTAAGTCATTATTGGTCAGTGTCCAGTTGAATCAAGTAAGAAAATAAATTTGTATTACTCTAGTTATGAAAATGCACAAATCGATTCTGATTATCAAAGTGAAAGGCCTGTCTTCTCCACCACAGACCAATGTAATAATTAATTCTAAAGCAATTTATTGTATGCTTCTGTGTGATTCTCCATATATCTAAAGGAAATAGTGCTACATTTACAAGTTGTTACAATAGGATAAATGTTTATCTTCTAAATAGATTTTTTTCCTACTATTATGCAAGCATAAAATCACTCAAGTGAGACTGTAAACATCTTTTTTTTTTTTTTTAAAGATACAGTGAACCAGTTTGGAATACTGAAGAAAATTTCTAAATTTCCCCTATTCTTTCCATGATTAATTCTACTCTGAATTAGCTGGTTTTTTTTTTTGTTTTCATTTAAAAAAAAAAAAAAAAAATGAATAATATGGAATACCTATGTAAAATGGGATTTGAAACTTTTTATTTTTTTCCCTTTTCTCTCTTTAGTCTGGGCGTGATAAGGATGAAGACAAAGATAAAGAAGGCCCTCCTGAAAAGAAGGCTCGATCTGATGTACGGCCTCCCTCCAGCTCTACTCCTGCCACGTCCAGTCCTGCTCTTGCTGCAAAAGCTGACCCATCTAAAGAGCGTGCAGGTGTCAGCATGTCCGATTCTGACAGAAAAGTTCGGTTTAAACTGGAAAACCCTGTGAAAGTTGTATCCCAATCTGATAAAACAAACTTTCCCCCAGATTCTGCTGCTGGTGTTTCTGGTTCACATTCATCATCAGCAACGTCGGGACTTTCTTATAGCAACCAGAAGATTGATCAACGCAAAAAGCTGCATAAGAGCTCTTCAGTTCCACGTATGGAAGTTACTGTCAACATGAAGGTGGCTTCTACCACAAAGGCTCCTGACAGACATTCACACATGGTGCACCACCACCAAAATGCACCCCTAAAATTAACTATAAAAGCTCCGATGGCTCCATCTGATGTGGATGCCAAGATGTCTGGTTCCAGCCAGATGTCTACCAAATGGAGCCATCAGAGCTCCAACCGCTTGAAACTTGATAACCATTCAGGTTCTAATTTAACTATTAAACAAACACACAATATGAAAGAATATGTACCATCAGATCGAATGAAAGACTCTAATCATATGTCAAACTTGAAAAGTCATTCTGACTATTTACAAAAACAAGGGAGCAGCCGAATGCCTTCTATGGATCATGTTATGCCTGGCGGCCAGTCTACGTCCAGTAAGTCCACCTTATATCAAAATAATGCATATTCTGTTATGTCTGGTGTCTCAAATGATGTACAATATGATTCTCCTTACAAAATTAAGAGATCTCGAGCATGTCCCTCTGTTCATCCATACAAAGTTGGACCTAAGCAACACCCTCAAACTAGCTCCCAATCAATGCGGTACAATTCGTATCATCAGCAGCAGCCTTCCTCCGATCTTAGAATGGATAACGATAAAGCACTCTCTCATAACTTAGAGTCCAATGGCAGTGGACCATCTCAAGTGATTACAAATTTACTTTCTACTGGGATGTCCTCTTCTGCCACGGCATCTTCTGCAGGTAGTGTGCCAGAACAGTTTGACGAGTTGCAGTTGCAACTACAACAAATAATAGATATTCAGAAAAAAAATATTCGTGAACAAAAACAGAAATATGCTATGGATTTTCACAAATAACACTTATTTCTTATAAATAAACTTAGAGAAATAGGCCATGACGTGGGGACTGGTGGGAGGGGTCCTGTTAAGATAGGACAAGTAACAACTCCTTTACTTACACACTTCCTAATTCACTCAGATCATTTAATACCATTTGACAAAGAAATTTCCTTGTTGAGATCACCGTTTTTTTTGTTTTTTTTTTTTTTTTTTTTTTTTCCCCTCTCACTTTCAGGTAGGATGTAGCCTGCTTGATTCCATCTTGTAAATTTTTAATTGACATTGTTTTGGGTTTTAAAAATGATTCTTTTAGTCAATCTAATTGAATTACTTTGTGAATATTTTATTTATTTTTATTTAATTTTTTTTTTTTTAAAACAATTCTTATTTTTACTTTTTTTGATATTTTCATTTTAACTTTGGTCTATTAATAGACTATATTGCATGTTAACATTCCTCTTTGTTACTAGTAGCATTTCTTTTTCTTTTAAATATTGTCTATTTGAAAAGCTAAAGGAGCTGAATTTAGGGCTGGTCAGCTAACACACACACACACACACACACACCTTTGTAAGATTGCTCAATAACATTAAACATGCTTTTTTTCTTTTTCTTCTCTAAAATTTTTAAATTCAGTAATTTCAAAATTGTTTTTTTACTGGTCATTTTTATACTTTTTTAACTATTCATTTCTTCATGATTATTTATATATTTCATTCTGTTCAGTGTTTATTTTTCTTGCATTTCTCTCAATCATTATTAATTGCTTTACTTTCCCAATTTGAACTTGCTGTTTTCTCCTGGATTTTGTTGAAATCTTATCCACAATTCTGTAAGGCCCTTTCAGCTCCTTGGTCGCATTTTTATCCGTCCCTCCTATTAAGCCCAAAACTAGACAAAACAAATCTTCATCCATAAACTTTAAAAATGCAAAGCAAGTTTCCATGTGTTTAATAATGAATTTGCAAATAATTTAAGTGTTGATTTTAATTCTTTCATGTGGTAACAAAATGCTCTTTACCTCAATACTTGACATGTAAGAACTAAGCAATGACTTTTATCTTTAAAACACAAGTAAAAAACAAAAAAAAATTGTTTAACTCTGAAAAACAACCAAAATAGAATATGTATGAGTGTCAGTTAGGAATTATTCTCCCTGATGAAAAATTTCCAACGTGAACTAGATCTCCACTAGCTGCCTCATCTTCAAATACGCACATGCAAAATCAACAGCGTCACAATTGTTTGTGGCCTGCCAATATTTTATTTCCATTTCTTTGATTTACTCAGCACCTTCTGCACAGATTTTTAGAAAGACCTCAATAACAATTAAAATATTTCCATAGCAAAGATTACATGTTCACTCATATTTTGGTTAGGCTTCATCTCTATATAAATATTTTGTAATGTCTGTGTTATTTTAAAAAGCTGTGATAAATCTGGTTGGTTTGTGACCAATTCATGAATTCATTATGCAATACCTTTGATGTAGGATCTGTTACATTAAAAAGGGTCTATCACGAAAGTTCAATGCTTTATGCAACTCTCAGATTTCTGCATGGAGTGTGAAACTCAATTTAAGGGGATTTTTTAAAAAAAGCCTTAAAAAAAAATTAAATGTTAATTTTGCTTATGCGTTTTCTTTTCACTTAACAGAAAAATGTGTGTGGTAAAATAGATGCAATAGAATATTTTAGGTCTTTGGAAAAAGTTTATTAGTGATGCATTAATTAGAAGTGTTAAAATAATTTAAAAAAAAAAAAAAAAAAGTTGTTTTCAAAAATCTTTTTCAAGGCTGGATGGGAAGAGCTCCTATCTTACAGATGAGTTTGTGATCCTGAACTGCTGCATGTAAAACTTGAGGTATGCTCTTTAGATTCTCTTTTCTCCATTTTATTAATAATAATGTTTGTAATCCTTATGCATACAGTCCAAGAATATTCATTTATAAATGTCTTAGTCTTAAGAACTTGTTCCTCTATGCAAATTATAAAAATGTATGCTAAATATTAGTTTATATCCAGTTCAACAAATTAAATGATTCAAATATTATGCATTTGAAGATTGAAAGCATAAGGATTTTTTTTTTTTCAAGACTTATAATGCTTTACAATTTAAAGAAAAAACTGAACAAATCTTGACACTTTTACTAATAACTAATATTGCTTAAGGAAATAAGTAGAATTGTTTTAACTTCTACTTAATAAACTCATCTAAGTCATGTTTTATCTAATTTTTGAGACTGTGGACTTGTTAATCCTAATGGTTTCTTTGAGTACTACTAAAGTAGACTATTTATCTTACAATATTTGAAAAGGCATTTTTACAAATGTGATTGTATTAATTCACTCTGGCTGTCGTATGCTTTTCTTGATATAGTACTGCATTGATTTGCCATTGCATACTTCAACTAAATGAATTTGAGTTATTTATCACAACTAAGTCAGAATGTAGTGCTTGTTTCTGAACGCTACAACACTTAGCTCTTCTTGGAGCTTATAATCACTACATAGGCAGGGGGATCACTTTTGATTAAAGAAATGTGTGTTAACTTTTATATTTTTAAAAAAATACAAAATTTAAAAAAAAAAAAAAAGCTATAGTTACAGAATTCAACACTAAAAAAAAAATAAAAATAAAAAAATGTTGATTGCCATCAATTAAGAACTTTATCTAAAGATTTAAATCACCCCCTCCCTCTCTCTGAATCATGTTATCACTTTTTCTTTTTCTTTTTTTTTTTTCCCAGATTTTTCCTTATTCTTTGCTTTACTTTCTTTTCTTTTTTTAATTATTATTCTTTATTTGATAGATGCCAAAATACCAAAATTTGACTCAGGAGCCTCTTTAAAACTTGGTAATAACAAACTAATCACTGACAAGTTTCTTACAAAAAAAAATTGTTGCATTTTTATAACTCGGCATTAATATTATGAATTTTACTTAACCACACACTTTTTCTCTCTCACTCTCGAGTTTTCTTTAAAAATGACTATTTCTTTGGCTGATAGTCTATATCTCTGTTCTAATCATATGTAATGAGCTGAAATAGCATGAGTGCCATATCATCAATTAAATGCTTTTAATTTATTTCCAACTTTTTCAATTCTCTAGGTATTTATAATGGGTGTCTAAAAAGTAGCATTCTTTTAAATTTTCAGAAGTTAATTTTATATTTTTTCTCTCTAAATATACTTGTGGGGATGCTATTTATCAGGTACTTTATTTATAATCACAACACTTAGTCCTTATTTACTAGATGTTTTTTTGTCAGAAGAATACATTGTAGACATAAACTTCCAGGTGATAAAATACACAACATTTTTGTGTGGATAAATTAAAGAGGTTATACTCAGAAATTTTCAAGGTTTTTATAGCACCCAATTATTTTTATATTTAGGTAGCTATTTTAAAATAATCTTTGGGATTTGTATTTAATTTGCATAGATTTGAATTTTATGTAAAAAAAAAAAAAATTTAGAACTAGCAAAATACCAAAAGAATAGATATTTGACTTGAGACTGTTAAAGAGGCTGTATTTAAATCCAAGCATTTTTAATTCCCTTAAATACATGAATTTAGATATTTTTTTCTTCTCCTTTCCTCATCACTTGTCTTCTAAATTGGGGAGCCTAGTGACTTCAACTTGGTCACAGTACATAGGACTTGTGATTGATTTGCTATAAATCCTTAGCTGTGTTACTGTAGGCAGTATATGGACACATCAGGACTTTAATAATAATAATAAAAAAAAAAATTAAAGCTTTGTACATATTGTACATAGTTGACTTCAAACAAAATGGCTGGGGCCAGGGAAGGGGGGGGATTGGTGAATAAAAGAAAATGTATGTTTTTAAAAAAAAAAAAAAAAAAATTAAATAAAATTTTTTAAAAAAAAATTAAAAAATATTTCTCATGTTTTAATGAGTTGTTTCTAAAGAACTTGGCTTTTTTTTTTTTTACAGTTCTGCTACTGTGTCAGTTTCTTTAGAACACTTTGCTTTGTGGATTACCCCACCCATTTTTTTTTTTTCTCTCTCACACATTTGACTTGTGGATGCTTATACATATCACTAACCATCTGGCCATCTGCAGTCACATAAATAGTGTACTGCGGTCATTTTAACACAGTAATTGACTCCATTGCATTCCTTTTTTTTTTTTCCTCTCCTTGGGGGTCATTTCAAAATTAGGCCAGGCATCTTAGCCTCCACAACCCACCTCATATAATATGGATTAGTGGGAATTATGAAGATATATCTACCACCTACACAACTAGTCATAGCTGGTGAATGCAGTTAGTAATTTTGTCCTCCTTTTCCCTTAACCATCCTCTATTTTTTTTTTTCTCTCTCTCTCTCTCTCTCTCTCTCTCATGCTTAATCCTGTATGTATGAATTGTGTTCAAGTAGATAAAAAAAAGTGAAACCCTATCATTTTTTATTTTCATTTTATGTGGTTTAAGTTTTATGGAATTAAAAACTCCTGACATAAACCATCTCAGCCTTTTTTTTTTTTTTTTTTTTTCTTCTTTTTCTCCATTCCACAAAATTTGTATTAACTATGGTTTAAGGTTAAAACAGTAAATTAAAATTACTCTTGCTAATGCAGAACAATTTACAATTATTTTTAAAATGTTTGTTCATTATTTCACATGTAGGTAATATATAAAGTCAATCCTATCTACCTTAAGTGCCTCATGATGAGCTTCTATTAGATATTGCTGCTGCTGAGAGCACTTCCGCCAGTTTGTCATGTAAAATCAAACTAGCTTTTGCCATTCAGTTTAACAAAGATAAGCAGTTAGCTTAAATTTTAAGCAAATAGTTTCTTATACTGTAAAATTTGAGATGAATTATAGGGGGTGCTACTTAGCTTTTTATTTTAAAAACATTTTTAATTTGTACACAAGTGAATTTCATTTTTTTCTCCTTCCCTCCTCTCTGTCCAACATCATATTCAAGCAGACTTTTTTTTAATCCATTGATTCTAGAAATCTTTGACAATCAGCAAGGAGGGGAAAAATATTAAATATTATTTACTTAGTAAATTTTAAATGCTAACTTAGATCCAAGGCATAGATAGATATTCTTAGGTAGTATTATCCAAACAATACTACCAGTCATACCCAACTTTATTTTTTCTCTTCACCAAATAAGGAATTAAATATTTCGCCTCTGGTGACAAACACTGACTGCGTAGTGTTAGTCACAAGTTGTACCAAAGACCCCTTTTGACTTTCCCTATTGCCTGGGAGCGAGTTGTATAAGCCCTGTATTTGTTCTGCATTGGTTCAGCTGCCACCTGCCTGTGTTGATGGTAGTATGATTGAGAAATATTACAAAAGAGGAGGAAAACAAAATATTTTTGTATTACCTGTTACAAACTCTTGTATATGAAATACTTCAAAGTATTGTCTTTGTACTTTTTACATAATCAATAAAAGTTTAAACAAAGAAAACTTTTTTTTTTTTTTCTCTTCTCTTTTTACTTTCTTTCAGCCCAGCACAAAGGTGTGTTTTGCATTTTTAAGATTCTTGCATTCAGGTGGCTGATGTCTACACTGATCTACTGTCATTTCATGGCCTTTGCTAGAAAGATTCTTGCTGTACAGGTGTCCCTCTCTTTATTCAGGGCCTGCTTGGGATGGCAATAGTTAATTGTGAAGAACAGATGTTGCCAAAAGGAACCAGAGAAATGTATGGAAATTGAGACTGAGTAAAGCCAAGCAGACAGGGTGGTTTTTACAACAGAATAGGGGGCTATCTCAGCACATTGCTATGAGCTCCTCTTAGTTGGGGCAAATAGGGAGGGAGAAAAAATATATATAAATAAAAACACATTCAAAATAGTGCATGTATGGGTTTTATATGTTCTGGCTTGTTTGAACCATGTTTGAAATGGAACATTTTCTGTTTCTCATCTGAAATTGTATAACTAAGATCTTCATTGCATTAAATGAATTTAGAAAAATGGTATTGAATCTTGAAAAGTGAAAATCCTTTAAACAAACATGCCAAGACTTTCCCAATGTAGGAACATATAACATCAAGTTGCTTTTTGGAACAAATTTATTGTCTAAGATTATTTGGAGTAATGTGGTTGTGAAACCATATTGTGTGTTCAGTTCATTTATGTCAAGTTCAAATTAATTGTTCAAGATATTTCTTTTAATTATGGCAACGTTCTTAAAACTATCTTAAAGTGTTGGATTTTGTTTGAACATTATCACAAACAGCAAAGATGAAATTTAATTTGCTCTCACAGCTAAAATAAAAAAAAATTCTAATTGCAAGTAGCTCTAATTTGTTCACTTTTATCACAGGCAAATGATAAAATCAGTTGCAAGAGTTGAAGTAATTCCTCTGTCCACTGAGCAGAAATTAGTTTCGAAATACATTTGATAGATCTATAGTTGTTACAATCACAAAAAGAAAATTTTATATATGTTCATCCATGCCTCTAGTGTGTTTTTCTTTTTGGATTTAGTTCTTATTCCTTGAATAAATGAGATCAACTCAAAAACTTAATTATTTTTTTTAAAAACCATTATGATCAAAAAGATTTCAAAGTGCTCATTTTCTTTTCAATTATAAAAGACAAATGTAGAATTTTTCTAATTTAAAATTTAATTGTAAAAAGAATACATTGAGGTATTTTATGCTTTCCTAAAAGTATATTTTTTAATCTGCTAATAAAGGTTAGAAAATACATTTCTTGGAACAATAATAATTTCTTGGCCTTAAAAACATTTGTATTTTGGAACCACATTCAACATGTATTTAAAATTCAAGTCAGGTTCACTGAACTTTATCACCAGAAACAGAAAATATGTCTGATTATAAAAAATAAGCACATTGTATCATGAAATTTAATTCCATTTTAGAGCAGTCATTACCAACTTTCCACTTGCCCAACGCTGTTTGGTAAAGGTTTTAAATGAGTCTCTGGCAGCAAAAGCACTAATAGTCCTCCAACTACAGTTAATACTCCAAATATTGATAAAGGCAATATAATATCATTTGAGTCCTGAAAGAACAACAAAAGAAAATCAATGGATAATATATTCACATCTATTACAGACTTGCTAATGAAAAGAGTTATTAATCTAACACAAGACAAAACTTGAGTTTTTAACTTCAGCTGACTTCTTTTTTTTTTTTCTTTAAGGCAACTTAACAATTCTTGTCTGTGGTCCTGTGAAAGAATCCAGTTTTGTTCAATAGTTCTTTAAATAGGAAGATGTAAAAGGGGGAAAAAAATGGATATTACCTTACTTTTTATCTCTTTGATATTCTTAAAAAGTATTTGAAAGATAGAACTTTAGAAAAGGCAAATTCATTGATTGCTTTAAAAATCAGTTCAGGCATTATTCATATTTATATGGATTTAATTTAAAAACAAACTTCATTGAGTGTTCTCTAAATCAAGCTTTGTGTCAAAGCTGGTTTAGTTGAAAAATACAGTCAACAAAATAATTTGTACACCCATCAATTTTGAATATTTTTTCCATTTCTAAGAATCTAATGCCTGTATGATGCCAGGTTTTTTATATGTTAATAAGCACAAAAAAAAAATATATGAAACTTCATTTTCAGAACAAAAGGTTAAATACAACAAATTTGACAGGCAAATTATGGAGAAAAAAAAAATTATCATTTTCACAATGTTAATAGGCCATACTATTGACTATCATCATCTTTATAACTTGCTGCAATCATTTTCTAAAGTTGTTGATGAGATTTGAACAAGTCCTTTCTGGGATTTTCTTCAATGGTTACACGTTCTAATTTCTGGTGACTGATGATCTATTCAAACTTTCAATTCTTGCCATAGATTTTTAATAGGATTCAAGTCAGGACTCATTGAAGACTGGCAGAGCTAATCTTTTCTGAAGCAATGTTGTCATGGATTTAGACATGTTTGGGATCATTATCTTTCTGAAAATTAAATCACCGACCTAGAAGATTTTGCACTGATAGTTGTAGATTTTCATCCAGAATTATAATATAGTCTGCAGATTTCATTATTCCTTTTATTGCAATTAATTGTCCAGTCTCCCTTAAGCTAAAACAACTCCAAAACATCATTGAGCTGCCTCCATGTTTTAATGTTGCCACTGTGTTCTTTGGGAGGAAAGCCTCACTTTTCTTGCGCCAAATCTTCTGTACATCATTATGTCCAAAAGGCTCAATTTTTGTTTCATCACTCCATAGTACTTGTTCCCAAAAGCAATTTTCTTTGTTCAAGAACATTTTGGCAAAATTAAACCAAACACCAATGTGACATGGTTTGTGTAGAGAGATTCGTCCTAGTCAATTGCCATACAACCCGTTTCTATTTAAACAGCGTTGTATTGTGTTATTCTGATACCCATCATATACAAACTTTTGGCAATGTCTTTCTAAACAACTCTTTGGTTTATATTAACCTTGTGACACAGTTTTTGTGCATTTCTTGGTGACAATTTGGGTTTCTTCCACGCCCCGGCAAATTCTCTGTTGTGCCAAACTATTTAAGCTTCTTTATAACGGATAGCTGACCAGTCTGAAATAGTGCTGTAACTATTTCCCAACTTGTGGATATTAATTCTCTGTCTCAAGTCAACCTTTGTCTTCTCTATTGTGTTGTTAATATAAGAATAATAATGATGACACTAAAGAACCTGGCACAGGCATGGATTCTGAGAAATGGATAAAAATATTCAAAATTGATTGGTGTATGAATAATTTTGTTGTTGACATTATGTGTAAAGAAGGATGTTTGTACTCACCAACAACATAACAAGTGGTGCCAAAATGCTTCCAAAATTTTCAAACAGGGATGCAGATCCCATGGCCTGATTTCTAAAAAAAATAAAGAATAATAATCAAGTAATGGTCATTTAACAAAGTGAACACAGAGAAACAAGTCATTGGCTAAAGAAAAGGTTGGAATTTCAGTTATAGTTGAACATCAGAAATGTCACAGTCCTATGAACATTTCATTTTATGACTTAGTCCCTGAGTACAGATTTATTGATACTCCCAGATTCTGCACAGAGAAAACAGTTGAGCTTTCTAACGATCGATCACTTTAAACGGTGTTTAAATAGTTGCAACACACATGACTCGTAGTATTGCCATTCACTTTACAAGTTTGCTTTTTGCGTGAAGAGAAAGGAAACATCCTTGACAACTGAAAATCAAGATTTTATGGCATTGTGGTGAAAAAGGCCCCCAAAATATTCTACATCAAGAAAGTTAGTTTCCGGACAAATTGACAATTCACATGCATATATATATATATATATATATATATATATATATATATACACACACACACACATATATACAGACCCAAGCCAGCTTTTTGTAAAAAAAAAAATCATTGTATTTGTATTTACAAAGATGTTTTAAAATTAGACTGCATTTGAAATTCTCAGAATTAAAAACTAAAAACAAACGGTATTATTATTACCATTCGTTTTTCCTTTTTAATTCTGCTGATACTTTTGAAACACTATACATGTATGTATTTTTAAAAGTTCTATTCTCTTGAATTTATTTTCACATCCATAGTAAATAAAAGCGTAATTTTAAAAATATGATTACTTGAAAAAAGTGTTTTATTTACTCAAGTGTGTGTGTGTTATTGACCTATTAATATTTTTCACCATCTTATGGAAAATATTTTTATTCAATCTTTGAAAAAGTTTTTTTTTTTTTTTGGCTTGTAACAAGTAAATAATTCTAAAATTAGTTTTATTAAAGCAAAAAAACTATAGTGAGCCTTATTTTTTCGAAAATTAATTTAAATAAAATATAGTTAATTCATATGACTAATGTCAACAGTAACTCCTAAATTTTATTTAACTAATTTTTTTTTCTTTTTAAATACAAATATAACTTGAAATTAAACATAATCACTTTTCAAAACTAAATTAATATATCTTGCTTTTACTCTTTCAAAATAGTAATTAAATTCATTCGCAGAGAAATGGTTGCTTCTTTAAAGTAATGTTTAAAAGTAAAACTTAAAAACATGTAAATAAAGTAAAACTTAAATTAAAATATATTTAAACATATTTAATTTAATCATTTTTTTAAAAGCAAAAACTATAGTGTGCCTTACTTTGAAAAATAACTATTTACTTTTTATTTTGGAGGGGAATTTAGAATCAACCTACCCCAGTGCAAAAGAATCACATTACTCCTCACCCCGTTACACACACAGTTGCATCAATGCCCCCAACAGTCATAAATTAACACATTTCTGCATCATTATGCTAATCCTTGTTGCCCCAAGACCTCCATGAAGTATAAATCACAAAACATCCTGGTTTCTGAAAAATTTGTAACTGATCACAAAGGTTTGCTAACAACACAGGGTCACACAGAATGAAAGGTTGCCAATTAAAATCAACAGAACTCACAAGTGATTGTTTTTCTCATGAACACCATTTCAGTTTTATGACAGCTTGAAATTTGAGATATTGTCCTAACACATTGCATATTGTCATCAATGATGTCCATGAAGATGAAGGATTGTTGCAAATTATGGAGACCATCGCAAAGTGAAGGGTGCTTTAGTTCATAATTGCTGACACTTGGAAGAACACCAAAGCATCATCTGTTACTTAGGTGGATACTCAATCGAAGAAAAGAGTGATCAAAATTGCAGACAGCTAGGATTAGAAAAGACTGTAAAGACAGAGATCTCTGACAATGACATTCAGCAATCGATATAGACACAGAAAAACAATGGGTAAGTAGAGACACCATAGAGAATAAGGAAAGTTAGATGCTCTCCTGCAGTTGCCATTAACATTTAGCACTCTGCATCATCTGTAAATATTACTACTTCCCCTTTTATTGTATATAGAATCCCTTCAAAATACAGTGTTTTATATATTTGTTCTATATATTTGAAATTGCAGTAGCCTGGCTTTCAATTTCAGCCTAGATTGTTTTAGGTGTTGACATAGAACAATATGACCACACAACCAAGAAATTCAAATTCAACTTGCATTGGCAGGACTAATATTTTACTTGGCAAAATAGTCACTTAGAGTGCTATGGGTTAATTGAAGTTGTTGATGGTTTGTGACTTTTCAGTGGTATGAAATACGAAGCAGTTGATGCCATTAAAAGGATGCATCTTCAAATGTTTCAATGGCACAAACAAGGAAACAAGAACTTCAAGCAACAGTGACTGAATAAATTTCTTACACTACCCAAAGTAAGTGTCTTTGATGAACTCCATGCACTTACTATGAATTCAAATAAACTTTTTTTTAATAATGGCTTCATGCTTCCTTGAATTTCCATCTTTTTAATGAAAGGTAATTTTTGTAAAAAATATCAAATTTCTAAACAATATCCATGTCTTATCAATTGAAGAAAACAATTCTTTTACACTTGGTTTTTTTTTTTTTTTTTTTTTTTCTTTGTTCAGTATGTTTTCATATTTTTTTCTGACCCAGATAAAAAGCAATTAATCCAAACAAAATAAAGGGTGTTCCAGTAACTTGGACCAATTTTAAATATAAATTAAATTTAAGCATCTAATGATTTTTTTTCTTTTTCTTTCAGATTTAACAACTTAAGTCTTTGGCAGTTCCAACCATGGAAAGATTAACAATCAAACGTGTTAAAGTTATCGAAACCTATTTCACACTTTGCAATTTTTTTGGTCAACATAATCGACCAACCGAGAGTGCAACTGGAAACAATGTAATGTTGTGGAGAGGTGCAATTCCTGCACACGATGACGAATAGAGGGGGTCTGGATTTTCAGCCACATTCTCATGCAAGGCAGCAATGTTTTCAACTGAACTGCATAAATGAGCACACAACGTTGTTTTCACATCTGCCACCAATCCAGTTTGTTTGAATTTACAAACAATTTTTCCAGTTGCACTCTTGAAATTTTAACACGTTGTTTGATTGTTAATCTTTCCATGGTTGAAATTGCTAAAGATTTAAGTTGTTAAATCTGAAAGAAAAAGAAAAAAAATCATTAGATGCTTAAACTTAATTCACATATACAAATCGGTGCAAGTTATTGGAACAGCCTTTATTATCCACCCATCTTGTTCAGATAACCGACATTCCTTAATGGTTTTATTTACGTTTTTGTTTTTTTATCATAATCAATTAGAAGAAGAATGTGAATGACAGCAACAAGATTCCTACCCAATGAGAAAAAAAAAGGGGAAAAAAATCTGTCTCTCCCATTATTACATTTTTTTTTTTTTTTTTTTAAAGTGATTTTGCCCACCAAAATAATCTGCATAATTGCCTGGAAATTTTACTTTATGAAACTTCAATTGCTTTCTGTCACATATACACATTTTCAAAACACTGGGAAATGTCCATTTTTAATGTTTATGTTAGAAGCTAGCACTTTTTGTTATTTCCAAACCAGCAGAGGCATAAGTAGTGTACAATCTAACCTGTTTTGTGCAGTATTTTTGTGTGTGTTGGAAGTATCGATTGGCTTAGTCTTTACTGAAGAGTATCCCATTGAAACCAAAACAGCACATCCACAAGGCATTTCCATCAGTGTCTTTATTGTCATTCATTTCCAGAAAATAACATTTTCTTTTTTTTTTACCCAAACAATGGGACAGCACAGCCAGGCAACAATGCAGCAGTGAAAGTGACAAATAAATAAGAGATTCAACATTATTACTATCAATTCACACACACACACATATATTTCATGTAAAATGACAACGAATAAAGTACACTTCCATTCAATTTACAAGAGAGCTCAATGCAAAGTATAGCAATATTCTTTATTTTAGGATATTACATCAAAAACGTTGAAAAATGTGTTTTTTGACATGTTTTTGATGTAATATCTTAAAAGTATACAAACATAAACCCAGAGGATGTGTCAGAAATACCTGCAACACTCTTCATCTAGCTAATGTCTTACCATTATTTGTGAGGTATTTCTGACACACCCTATATATAAAAATCAATTCTCCTTATTTTACCAAGTCTAATTTAAAAGAATTCCTGTTCATCCATCAAACCCTATAAAATTTGCTCACCTGACAGCTGTTGGAAAGATCTCGGCTAAAAGTAAATAAATCATGCTATAAGATCCAGAAATACCAAATCTTCCGATCATGGACCAAATCAACATTAAAACAAATTTGTTTTGCATTTCTGAAAGAAAAAATAAATAAAAATGATGAATTTGAAATGCATGAATACATACTTATAAAGTAGTTATTATTAAGGTTGTTATATTAGCTTATTTTTTTAAACCTAAAAGTGTTACAAATGAAAATAGAAATCAATTAAATAATTACATTAGAAATGCAATACAAAATTATTTTCCTGGTTTTCATGCATTTTTCTTAAAATATGGTTTTGCAAAAGTTTAAATCTTCATTTTAACGCTTTTATAGTTCACCTGAAAAGGCATTACCAAGAGAAACTGGTCCACTTATAAAAAATAGGAAAAGATATTTTGGTAACCAATTTTTGTAAATTAACATTCATTAGACAAAATTCGAATGTAGGGCATTGTCTGGTTATATTGTCCAAGATATTGAAGACATCATAGTGAGTCAGGCCATATTTTCTATGACATGAATTCATCCAAATAGGAAAGTAACACAGACAAATGCACTTCATGCATTCATTTTATTTTAGTTTTTGCAAAACAGATTTATCTTAAATGAAAGACAAATGAATATATTTTTTTGTGATTTATTTTAGAATATTTAAAACAATTTTGTGTAACAAAAATAAAATTATTTAAAAAATAAAAACAAGAAATTGTTTAACTACAACTCTTTTAAAATCTATTAAAGTTATAGAAGTTAACATGTAGGGTACAGTTCAGCATTTAGGATAAATAAAATTCAAGTATAGATAACTCTCTTAAAAAAAAAAAAAAAAATCTCAGATTGATTTAGCACTGCATTTACATTATGAATAAGACCTTCCTAAAAATCAATATTTTTCAATTTTGATTAACATCATACTCAGAGGAAGGTCTAATGAACGCTAATCTACAAATGTTTTGTTCCCTATTTTTTACTAGAGAGCCTATAATGGTCCCTAAAAATTAGTGAAAACCAAGACAAATTTTGCAGATTAGATAAAATCAGTAATTTAGACAAGTGAGAAATGGTTTTCAATAACATTATGACTTTAAAAAACAAAGAAGTGAAATAATCCCAAAAGCAACATTTGTTCCTATCTAATTATTTTGTGAACTGCATTTGTCACATGGTTTAATTTAATATTATGTACAAGATTTGATTTTGATGGATTTTGTATTATTCTGTAAATATCAAGATTTGCTTATTTCATTAAACCTATATGCAGTATTCAACATCAACTCTCTATTTTATGAAAGCATCTTTGTATGTAGTTCTTGATTCAAGATTAATACATTCAAACTAAAAAGAAACTGGCATAACATATTTATGCTATTCCAATATAACATATATTTTTTAATATATATTTATGCTAAAAAAATTTACGAGCTGTTTATTGACCCATTTAGTGAGACAAGTTGTTGAAGTTGGACTTAATTTCTACATATTCAACAGAATGGAAATTCCAAAGTTTGAAACACTATTTTACATTTTCAGAAAGAAAAAATAGTTATCCTTAATCACTCTAGACATTATTTTTAGTGAATATTCATATTTGAATAGATGCTCCATCTATTTTTTTTATTAACCAGTATTCTATTTTTGTCTACCAGCCTGAATCTCTTGTGTCTGAATCAGTTAATTAAAGCATAGCAGATCTAATGAGTTTCTCCTGCAAAAGGGGAAAGATTTAAATCCTGCTAGAGGGCTCAATTTTTCTATAAGATTCCTTGAATATTCAGGCTAGTAGATGAAAATAAAATTGTTTCAGAAAATAAAGGGAGATTCTCAAATATGAGCATTCACTAAAATATAATGTTTAAGGTGCTAAAAATATATTGGATTAATAAATAAATAAAAATCTACTTCTGTAGAAATTGCAGTGTTATCTTTACCCATCACAAACCATGAAAAGATTTTTCATGCACTAAAATAAACAAAATCTTCATTTTGATTTTGGTTTAATTAAATGCAATGTTATATGTTAACAGAATAAAACTAGCAAATAGGTTTATTTAAAAAATTGTATTAACTTATACAATGCCATGTCATATTGCTAAAGATAATGTTTATAGAAAAATTTTATTAAAAACTTTGAGAATTTCTTATAAAAAAAAATTGTTAGCCATTTAAATGTTGGCATAAACTTAAAAAAAATAAATGAAAATTCATTTCTATTCTTGATTTCAGTGTTTTACTCACCAGAATAAAAAATTCCTAAAGAGACCAGATTTGATATTCCACAAATTAACAAGAAGCAACAGATTGGTTTACGACGTCCAATTCTTGTAAAATAGAAGAAAAAAAAATGTCATAACACAAAAAAGTTGTGCCTAGAAAGAGAAAATAATTTATTTGAATATTTTGAGAGAGCAGTGTAAGCAGCATTTGTTGCTGCTATATAAACAAAATAAATGCAGAAACAATAAATAAAAATTTTAAATTGCCATTACAATTTTAAGGTTTGAATATTTTTTGAATTTAGTTTTGACCAATCTAGAATTCTAAAAAAAAAAAAAAAAAAAAAAGTAATTACTGAAATGCACAGTAAAAATTTAGATTTTAACAGAATTTTAAATATTTTATTTAATGAGGTAAAAATCTCTGATGGGTGGGAGTGTATGCAGATGTAGATTTCATACATAATTAGGAAATCCCTGGAATTTGACATTTTTGTTTAAAAAATTACTTAATCTGTAGAGTATCTGATCAAGACCAAAATGGTGGCACCCATGAAAAATTGCTGTCAATGCCTTTAGAGTCATTTATTTCAAGTCTCAATTTTCTATTTTCCTCCCAAACTGAGCAGCACAGCAAGACAATATAATGGATCATACTGCTATACACTGGTTTGGAAATAGCACTAAGCACTAGTTAATTTATAAATACTAAAAAACATTTCCCACTATCTTGAAATGTGTGTGCACATGTATGTATGTATGCATGTATATATATATATATATATATATATATATGTGTGTGTGTGTGTGTGTATCTTGAAAATTTCATAAAGTTTCTGTGCTTTAAAATTGTATACATACATTGACAGCAAGCAATGTAAGTTTCATAAAGATGTATAAGTGTTCTTTGAAAATGTATACATATATCAACAGCATCCAATTTCAGTTTCATAACTACATTACTTTGCTCATTTTTTTTTTTTTTTTTTTTTTTTAATCACATCACCCCAAGCAAGGCAATAATACCACTAAGACTCAAGGGACTACTGGGAGTGAAAGAGAATGAAAAGTCTTTAGAAGGTAATGGAAACCCAATCCTCAACCAGAAACAATGCATAAACATCTCTTCCTGTTCAGAAGGCTGTTCAAAAGTCTGGGAAGGAGAGTCGACCGGGCAATAGGCAAACCTAACTACTCCTATTATTACACTCTGGTAAAGCTGAAATTCTTTATGAAGATTATTTCATAAAAAAAAAAAAAAAAATCTTTATAAAATTTTTAAAACAATGAGAGTCAGTGTAAAAAATAGTGTTTTTTTGATTAATATTGGAACTAAGCCAACTTACCTGTTGATGATAAACATGACAACGATATTGGCTGCAATCTCAACCACAGCACTAAAAAACAGGTTGATATAAATGTTCCCAGGTAAGGCTGGTGTATTAAGTAAGATGCCAAAATAACTTAAACTAACAACAGTTCTGCAAAACAAGAATACAGAAACAGAAGCTTAATAAAAAGAATAATAACCAATTAAAAATCAGGCAAACTTGGACCTTGGTGCCCATAAAAAAAATGCAAATGGATGCCCTCCCCTGACATTTTTTTTACCTACCTTCACTCCTCAGCAATGTTTATTACTTTAAAAAGCGATGATTAGAACTAATAAGACCTAAATACATGATGAAAGTGAATTTATACATTTTCTTTTGTTTATGAGAAAGACAAGAAAAATAATAAACACTATTTATTCATTAGTTTTTTTTATTGCTTTGGAATGGTTGGCAAAACATCAGCTAATTGCCAATTGATTTGAACTTTATAAAATGGAAAATTATCAGAATTTCCTTATAGTTGCTTCACAAATAATTTAGTAAATATTTATAAATTTATGTATAAAAAATTGTTTTCCTATTTATTTTTTTATAAATTGGTAAATTACACTGCATTAGTTTTACTTGTATTAGTTTTTAAAATGTCGTAAACATAAAATAATTCTTGTAAATAAACAATCTATTAAATAGTGTTTAATAATCTTGTAAATTCCCAAGAAGAAAAAAAATGGATAAATTCACTTTCATCATATGTTTAGGCTTTATTACTATTTTAATAATTGACTTTTAAGACAATAAACATTGCCGTGGAGTGAAGGTTGTTAAAATAATAGCAGACTCTGGGGGGTACATCCTTTTGACACTTCATTTTTTTTTTGCAGGCACAAAAGTCAAAGTTTACCAAAATTCATAATTTCAGAAAATTTGTCTCCTTTCTTTACAAAGGTTTTGTTTTATTTCTGATTCAGGACTTCAGTAGCCTTCCTCAAGAGAAAAGAGATTGACTTTTTTTGTTGTTTTTAAAGCTTAACCTTTTTAATGTTATTTAAAACTAAAACATTTTTGGATTGTAATATGTTTTTGAAGATAATGATTTTCTGATACAAATAATACTATTTAACCCATAGGTAAGAGGAAAAGAGATTCAGAACTTGGTTCTCCAATTTCTCATTCTGACCCATTATCCATTATACAACCCACACATCCCAGCTTACAGCACCTGATATTCCCAGACAGCCACCTATCTAAGTACTGACCAGATCAATGTTGCTTAACTTCAGTGATCATACAAGAACCAGTGTTTCAACCTATGTATGGCAGTAAGCTAAGATAAAAGGGAAGTAATTTGTGAGTGTATATTGTGTAAGAGTCAATTTCCTTTAGTACATATGAGAAGAGGAAGCAGCAGAAGTTGAGCCTGCTACGATGGGCTTGTCAAACAACCATTCAGCAATAGAAACTGAATGCAATCAAAATTGAGATGAGAAGTCAAATAAATGAGAAATTAGAAATGCTTGACTTTGAACGAAAACCCGACTTAAAATTTGAAATTAACTGTGGCTTTTTATAAGAATTCGATTGGCTCAAACAAAGGCTAGATTTTATTGATAATTATTAATTACAATTTATTGGATGAAAAATATAAATACATTACATGATTGGATAAAATATTAAAGATAGAATTCAGAGTTGTCAGACACTTTTGATCATCCATTATTCAATGATGTTTGGTGAGAAAAGAAATTTTTCATTGGTTTATAATCCTCTTTATAATGGTAATGTGATTCTATCAAAGTTCAGTAGATTTTATATATTATTAGAACCAATGGGAAGAAGAATGGATGCTGGATAAAAAGTTGCAATGAGATTTATAATATTTTGACTTTTAATGTTTTCATGCACTATAGTTACAAGTCAATAATTGAAGTCATTATTTTTGTGCAGGGTCATGTACCGAATTAGACACTAATTCCAGACAATTCATAAGACAGTGAAAGTAATCATTAAGGAGTGAATTATATCTTACCAACCTGATGTCATACAAGTTCTCCTATTCCCATGTGTTTTTACAAAAATTCTACTTGGCTCCCATCTATCATTTTCTGCACAATCCAGTTATGAAATGCCTTTTGCACTAACACCCTTGGAGAAGGCATAAATTTGTTTCATCTTCCTCCAGTTATGGGTTAACTAGGAAAGTAGTCTAGGCTCTCGAGTCTCAGATGGCACCTAGTCTAAAAGGAAGGAAAATCTGAATTCCAATCCACTGAGAAGGCAATGGGAAATCACTCTGCTAGCTTTTCCAAGAAAACATGCCAATTCAGATAATAATGAAAAAAAGCTGTGGAGATTGCCTACATCCTGAAGGGACATGACATTTTTTTTAATAAAAGTTTATGAAATACTTACTAACGTGTTTTAATATAATTTAACAATAAGAATATTTTGCAGATGTTAAAAAGAAATTATTTAAAAAGGGGCTAAAATGAAGTTTGACCCTCACAGGACATATTGAAAACAGGGAAACCGGTGTGTTATCTGACAGAACATCAAGAGGGGGTTATAGTAAGGGGACAAACATTACTTAGTACTACAAAGGATAGGAAGTTCTGGAGGGCCATGATCGCCCAAGTGCTGAAAAAACATGTCATATAAAAGGAGGAGACAAGAAACAATACAGATGCGATCACTATCTAAAAAAGGAAAAACAAATTATGATTTGCTTTAAGTTGTTGATAACTCACAAGAGGTAATAAGTGATGAGAGTATACAGTAACATCCTGGGTGTTTTAAATAATGAACAGAAGGATAAAGTGACCGATAGAAGTTCTTGTCCTTGTGAACAATTTTGATAGTTTTTACTGCTGGTGAGATAACTCGTTGATTGGAATGTTTGAACATCTTCAGAATTAGACCTAGTCAGGCCATTTTCTTTCTGATGAAGATGAGGTGTTTTATTATTGTCCTCTAACATGTTAACCTCATTGGCAGCAGATACCTCCAGTGTGTTACAAGGCGTCGACGGGTCATGATGATTGGCACGGCCAGAGGTCAGGAGGGAGTCTGAACCTTCTGAACTTTGAGAATTAACTTCTTTTTGATTGTGAAAATCAGAAAAAAAGTCTGGTCCAAGTTTTTTTTTATTCCATTTGTTTGCAGACTGAACAATATTTAATGTCTCTTGATAGTTTCCCTTTAAAAACAACCATGTGATTGATTCAGGCAGGAACCTGCAATGGATGAACAAAAATATATTTCTGTACAGGCAAAAGTAAAACTATAAAATAAATAATTATAAGCAGAGGCAAGGACAGAATCAGATGCAAGAATAAAAAACTCTGGAGTAATTATGCAATCAGTGTGTGTGTGTACACACATATTAAACAATATTTTTAATGTATACTCATATTTGAGTAGAGGCTCCATTTATTATAAACAGTATTTTTTATTTCACCTACCAGCCTGCACACTTGAGAAAACTTATTAAAGAACGTATGCCCTACCACCCCTTTGCTGGAGAAACAGATTTTGCAAATCCTAAAAAAATTGCTGTGGTGCCCTCATTTCTAAGGGGTCCACCAAGACAATTTTTACCTGCCTCTATCTTAGGCTAAACTCATATATATATATATATATATATATATATATATATATATATATATACACACAACCCTCATTTCCTCCATATTTCAAATATAAGAAAAAAAGTTCACTGACAGTTCCCCCCTCCAAGAACAGGCTCCCACATAGATGATTCCTTGAATACTACAATCAAATCTCTTCAAATTGAGTATCAAACATCATCTGTCCACCTTATTCTCATAATCTTCAATTCTTACCATTAGCTCTTTCATTAATATCACATATAAACATGTTAAAAATAAGCTTCTACCTTGAGTGATTCTTGAGCCATGTATTGCATGAACTTTAATATAAAAATAAAAGATGAGAGAGATAGAGTGTGGAGAAAGGAACAGGAACTAATGGTTGCTTGAAGTTGACAGTCACTATGGAGTGTTGATTCCTATGTCTACAAATGCTCTACCACTAATATTAAGTACTCTTTCTCTATAAATATAATAGATTTTAAATAATTGCATGTGTGCATATTAATACATACATACACCCCATTCATCCAAGCTTTGAATATTGCTGCCACATCTGGTCTGGTGCTACTGCTATATATTTAGAGATTCTTGATAAAATACAAAAATTATGTAATGTTATTGGTCCTGATCTGGCATCTCAGCTTCAATCACTTTTCTACTGCAGTGACATAACTTCCCTGTGCCCTTTTTATAAATACTTTCATGGTAATTGTTCTGATGAACTTTCCTCTATGGTACTTTATGAATTAAAGTGCAGTACTAGATTGGCAGCTAGGTCTCATCATTTTAGAATTGCAATTTCTAGATGTAACCGTAAGTTCTATGCTAACAGTTCCTTCTCTCATACATCTTGCTTATGGAACTCTCTTCCGGTTTCTTGTTTCCCAGTCAACTTGAATCTTCAAAAATTTAAATGCAATGTCAATTGCTATTCCTGTTCTTTTATTGTTCTCTCCTTAATAGTGATTTTTTTTTCTGATATTATCTCTCACACGTCTCCTTTGTGTCTTAGTGGCTTTATTGCCTTGTTTTGGTGGGGGATAATAAATATACATTTTTTTTACCTCCCCAGTAGCACAAATCTCTGAGTTTCATGCACAATGTAATTGTCTGGTACTAATATTGTTGGTTTTGATCTCAATGTCCACTTATTAAATATATATATATATATATATATATATATATATATATATATATATATATATATATGCTCACACACTGAATTTTTACTTGATCTTCAAGAATGCTAGGTACCAAATGTTTGGACAATATTGATTGAATCCAGACACTTCTTCTCTTGTAAATGAACAGAATTGAAATATTTAAAACACTCATTGTCTATCTTTAATCAAAACTTATATTAATGAATGGCTTCTGCCTGTATATGTAATATCACTTTTATATATATGATATAACTATGCTAGTGTCTCTCTCTCTCTCACACACACACACAGGCAAATGGAAAGTCTCAGGTACCCAGTTTTTTTGCTTGGACAGCTACATGTAAAAACAGGCAAAGGTCATTCAAGTTAACCAGAGGTCATGAAAAGAATAATAATATTTTTGACCAAATTAAACAATTTCTAGCACAATGGGGGAGATATTTGTGATGATCTCAAAAGACATTAAAAGGTCAAATTAGTTTGTGGTGTTTATAGTATGTCAAATAAACAATTACATTCTTGGAGGTTGCTTGGTATGGGAGAGCAACATGGGCAGAAAACCATGATGAGGGAGGTGGTGTTGTCCAACAATATCATTGGAGGTCAACTTTAGACTTTTTTGTTTTCAGCCAAACAAAAATCAAAAAAAAAAAAAAAAAAAAAAAAAAAATAATATTTTCTATTTTATTTATAAAACCATTGCGCAACTGTGAAAAATGTTTTCAGTCAAAAATTCTAAATTCTTTCCTAAAGTTATTCCCCTTGACTTCTGGCAATGTTGGTTGTCTCTGCAAACATTTTAGACACTTCTGACTGGTGGTTGTTGTTTAAACACAGAGTGTTTCTTGTATAACAACACTGCTAAAACACAATAAGGCTCAGAATTATAAATAACATATTTGCAAAATAAAACTTGTAAAGTATACAAAAAAAAAGTTATTACCACCACAGAAGAAGAAGAACAAGGTTGGGTAATGAGGTAACAATTTGTAAAATCTTCCAATCTTTGATGAAATATCCTACAAGTGCTAGAACCATGATGCCCAAAGACCAGAATAAAGAAGCTCCAATAACAGGCAAAGTACGATGAGTGGAAGGTAAGAATTCAGCTATCATGCAGTAAACATTCAAAGTGATAGTCTGAAAGAAAAAAAAATGAATAAAGAAAATCGTTTTTTTCATTACATTGAATGAATGTGTACAATGCTAAAAAAATCTTATCTAGAATAATGTGTACAAATATCATTTTCTTATAAAATATAGTCAATATATCATTTATATAATACTGCAATTGCATTTTTTTTTAAATGTCACGTTCATTCAGGATACAAGTGATCATGACTTGCCACAAATTCTTTTTTCTATTTCTGAATTACCATCTTTTCTTGGCAAAGATAGTGGAGAGGTTGTCCTGTTACATTCTCCAAGGTTTGAGTTTGTTTTTCTTCTTCTTATCTTAGTGTAGTTGCCATTAAAGACTAGACTACCCAGTCTACCCTACTATTTAACCCATAACTGGAATTGCAAATTTACTTATTTTTTAATAAAGTACAAATTAGTCTGACATTTTTCTGGGGAAAATAAATGCAGTTAGAAAACCCAAGATTGTATTCTTTACTATTAATAATTACCAAGATAAACCTTGGAGAATAAAAACATTTCCATTTTTCAATCAAACTCTCTTCAATTGTTTTCTTTTTTTTTTCTAAATGCAAAAGAAAAAAAAACATCCAACATACTTGCACATAACTTCTTTTTTCTTTTCTTTTTTTTATAAAACTTTCCACCCCTCCCTCCAAAAAAATTAACCCAATTTATGCAAAAAACAATTTGGATTTCAATTGTTAAATATGAACTGTCAAAACAAGATTTACTTCCCTTAGCCAATATTTGAAAATTATTCTTAATCAGAGCTCGAAGGAGATTAAGGGGAAACTATATCCATTTGTTTTAAATAATACAAGTGTTTTATTTTACAGGGTTAGAATTTTTGAAAAATAAAAATTTTTTGAACATATAGTAAAACCTGAGATGCAAGCAAAATATATTTTTATCGAAATTAAAAGTGGAATTGTACGTATACTTCTGAGGATAGAATGTGGCATTATATTGAACAAAAACTATGTGTTGCAGCCTAAGGAAGGTCACTGAATAGAATAATTACACAAAAGTTGGTAATGAATGATAATACTTAGGACAAGAATAATACATATAAGATTCACGTCATGTAGAAGTATTCAACTGCTAGAAGGGAGTCAAGGGAATTCCACAATGAATCTCCACTGCAGGATATCTACCAACTGCCCCACGCAGTCAGATATGGCACAAGGCCGAATTTAATGTTGGTATCCAAGCCCATAGGCTCGGCCAAAAATTCCCCATAGACCTCATATAAAACAGGGTCAGGTAGCTGTTTCCCAAGACTAGACTTTGCCCTTCGACATAGCCTTGCCTGGAGATCCTCTGTGCCTGGAGGCAGAGAGTTTGACCAGCACAAATGGAGATGAATTTCCAACTGCAGACCAACATACAGTATTTACTGTTGTATTTATGTGAATGGGGACATAGTCATTATTGTCCGTAGGTATGCTACAACACTATGTAAATGTGTCCTATTAAAATATCACCCAAAGTTAAATATTTGGTTAGAAAGAGCTGTAGCATTTTTTGAGACAATAACTGATTTATGTTTAATGAGCAATTAATCATGTCAGGTTAATTGTTTCCTTCATTTTAAATGATATAATCTCACCAAGTATGCAAGATTTTTTAATGCCTCCAGTATACACTTTTTATGTTTTTTAGGGAAAATACATGACTTTTTTGATTTTTTCAAAATTTAGGTTCTGTTTCACCAGCAATAAACGTTTTTATGATCCGAAAAGATGATAAGTAATATTAGGAGAGAAGGTAGAGTAGATAAAACTTGCATATTCTGAGCCAAAACCTTTTCCTGGATGTGTTTACAATGTATAGCCTTGCATTATCATGCAAGAGTAAAAACACCAGACTGCTTGGTGACACTCTTTACAATAAAGACTGGTAGAGTTTTAAAGTCAAAATTGACTTCATTATAAACACCATCCTTCATATGCCACTAAACACAGGACATTACCATCTCCAGGTGTTATTCTGGATGTGTTGTGATCATTGTCTCTTTCACTGAATGAACCCAATTTTCCTTGCTGGTAATGATCCTTTCCAGAAAAGGTTCATTAGTGCGCCTTAATAATGGTTACATATTAACTCTCCAATCAAGTTGTAATTAGCAATTTTTTCTTTCTTCAATCATCAAAGCCAGCAATGCATTCAGGGAAAAAAGAAAAAAAAAGAAAAAGAATTGCGATAAAGCTAATAGGTTATTTAATTAGGGAAACTTTTTGATTGTTGTGTGAATAAGATTATGGACACTACTGTCTTGAGAAAAAAAAAAAAAGAACTTTTTTTGATGAATACCGAGTATTTGCAGGAATTGTTTTCCTCTCTTTGGAATTTGAATGGAATAATTTATAGAGTTTTAAATCTTTTAAAATTCTGTGTTGATTTGTATTGGTTGAGTGATGTAGTTACGTAAAATCTATATTTGCTAATCATAAAGGAAGGGCATTATTTACATTATTATTCAAACTATTCAAAGGACACATGGCACAGTGGATAAAGGCGTTAGTTAGATCCAGTGACAGAATCCAAAGAGCTGGTTAAGGCAGTGGAGAACTTAGAGAGGGGAATTAACAGGAGATAACTGATAAATTCGTAAGGGGTGGCACAAGCTGCCAATATGAAAATGCATACTCATGTACTGGAAAAGAAGAAGGACCTTTTAATTCTACTGCATGTTTAGTAAAAACATGCATGAAGAACATTTTTGGTTAATTTTTTTTTTACTCCACTTAGGGAAGAAGGCGTTGGATGTCATCTACAAGTAAATGACAAAAAGGGAAAGGGAGTAATATGACACTGAGGTCACAAAGTGGTTAAATGCTAATTCTGTGCAGGAACGTGTTAAGCCCAAAATAAAATGCAAGCTGGAAGACAAAGATAGAGAGAGTGGAAACATTTTCCTTGGTGAAAATGGGACCATCTGAATTTCTTTCCTAAAGTTTATTATTTTATGTATTGAGAGTCTGGCATATTGACAAAAACAGATTCAGAGAAATGGTTTTATCTCTTCTTTTTGGAATTAAGAAAACACATATCATTAATGAGAAGAGAGACAGACAGGGCTTATATTTTTGTTGATGAAAACGAAATGGGAAATTTAAACAAACACAGTGTGAGGGTGACAAGCGGGTGATTTGGTTTATATTTTTGCTAAACAGAGATCAACCCAGGAATGGAGAAACAATTTTATCTCTTCCTTGAGAATTTAGGCAAACAAATATCATTAACAAGAGAAACAGACGGAGCTTATATTTTCATTTACAAAAACGAATTGGGAAATGTAAACAAAGAACGAAACCGTTTTTTGAGGGTTGAATCTATGAAAACAGATCCTGTCGTTGCTGAGTAGGTGATCTGGTTTATGCTTTCACTAGACATTAATAAGTCCAAGAATGAAAAAATAATTTTATCTCTTCTTTGTGGAAATAAAAGAATTAAAATTAATGAGTAGAATAAACTACGCTCTTTCACTCATGCAATTTAAAAATTAGATTTGTCACAAAGACAGTTATGCCTGCCCTAGGAGGTAGGCTGAAGTGAAATGCTAAGAAAGGAGGAAAAGGGAGAATTTGGCACCACCTGCGTGGAGTGGTAGTGTGAGATGAGAAGTGAAGCAAGTTGAAGTTTAGGGGAAGAGGAATTCCTGTAACTACTCCTGAGAAGGTGGATAATTCTCCAAATTTGGAGAGTTCATTAAGAAAGCAGATGTTGGGAACAAAGAACGTTTATTGGAATTAGTGTGGAAATTGAAGAATCAACAAATCTCAAGAAACCTTCAGCACCACACCAGATTTGGGCCAAAGTGCATATAAGCAGATAGCTTTGTTAGCTTGAAGTCTTGGGCTGAGAACCCTGCATCAAGTGTCTCTGGAATCCATGTCAGCTGCCACCAGATTTCCTGATTCTAAAGAACTTTGAACCCCAAATTATTAGGTGAAGCACAGTGTCACTATAGAGATTGATGCAGAAAGGTTAATTTTTGTTGTGCCAAAAACTATATAAACCAATTGAAGATTAACCCAATGAATTTTTCGTTTTTATTTTTTGTTGTGAAGATATTTCTTCCTTAATATGGCACACACCATGGCTTGAACCAGCATTGTGATTACTACGACATTTGATCTTCCACTGATCTGAGATTAAGAACACAACATGGGCAAAGTTGGTGTAGATTGAAGTAGCCAGCAACCAACAAGCAGCTTGGACCAGCACAGAGTTAGCCCTGTGGTTAAAATGTCATCTTATACCCTGAGGACCAGACCACTAAATGTGGTTACACCAACAAGTGTAGGCAGCGGTAAAAGGGCTTATGCTAATATTAAACATTTCTTTAGAAATCCTGTGTTGGGCACAGTTCCGGATACACTTTGCCCTTGCTTCATCAATATCTTGACGAGGTTGTCAAGCAATTCTTCTTTACTACTCTTCTTTACAAAAAAAATAAAATAAAATAAAAATAAAAAGTCATTTTCAACCAAATTTTTTTTAATCAGTTGAGATGTTTTGCTGATTTAAATAAAAAAAAAAAAAAAAAAAAAAGGGGGGGGGAATCATGTTAAGAAAAATCAAATTTGTCTCTTGTTTTATTTATGTTTCACTTACCATGTTCAACATTCCAATAAAGAAACGTAAAACTATGAAAAGTATTATGGTATTACTGAATGCCAAACCAATACTGAGGATGATCATGCAAGCAAGACTGATGAGGAGGACACAGCGACGACCAAACTTGTCACCAAATGGTACCAAAAAGATGCATCCAAAGGCACAACCAATCATATAAACAGTTGAAGAGAGATCCACCAGGTAAGCCCGGTTACACACCAAATCCCACTGAAAAGAACAAAATAAAGAACTGTCATTCTTTTTTTTTTCATCTTTAAAACTTTCATATGAATTATTCAAATATAAAAAAATTCAAAATGGCACTTATAACATAATTAAGTGATCCAAGATTTCAGTACAACTGGAACCCCTGCACCCTTAATCCAAGCAACATCATTCTCTACTAACCCCAACCATCAATATTTATTCATCCCTGTCAGATAATGGTAAAAAACATTAACAGTAAAAAGAACGAAAATATGTAGGTTTGTCATAGCAATACAATTATAGTGACTAATTCACTATAAATATTTGTATGGACAGGACATTGGTAGTTTAAGTCTTTAGCATTCAACACACTCAAACCCACCCAGTAAATATCAGCTCTCAAAGACTCACTGTTTGAGTTATTTCCTGCATTATTTGTAATGATGTCACCATATATTATGGCAGAGTATACATGGGGCAGGTTACAGCGTGTTAGACATTGAGAGCTAATATTTATTGGGTAGGTTGAATGCTAAAGATTTGGTTCACTGTGTCGAGTGAGACAATTTTTTCTCTCCAGAACCTATCTTACATACCTATAAGTTTACCATTCGTCCATGCTTAGAATATTGCTGCTATATATGGTCCAGTGTCCCTGCTATTTACCTGGAGTTCCTTGATAAATCCAAAGAAAAATCAGCAATATTATTGGTCCTGATCTGGCAGCTCGGCTTCAGTCACTTGCCCACCGCCATAAGATTGCCGCTCGGTGCCTTTTTTATAAATACTTTTATGGTAATTGTGCAGATGAGCTCCTCACTATGGTACCTAGACTTAATGAATTTAAGTGCAGTACTAGACTGGTGGCAAGATCTCATCAATTCACATTTGAGCTGGCTAGACATAGCCATAAGTTCTATGCTGACAGTTTCTTTTCTCACTTGTCGAACTTCCTTGTGGCTCCATGCTTTCCAGCCAACTTTAATCTGCAAAAATTTAAATGCAATGTCAATCACTATCTACTGTCCCACTGATTACTTCTTTCTCTTTCCCCTCATTATTAATGTTTCTGTTGCTAATTCCTCCACAACTTCTAACCCCTTGTGTCATAGTGGCTGTACTGCTTTGCTTGAGATGATACCAATTAAAAAAAAAGAGAGAGAGGAGGAAAAAAAGGGTCTATCCTGATGATATCAGCTATCAGTAGACATTGTCAGGTTTGGGGGGAACTATTTTAAATATCACCCAAATTAATAGAATTGGAGACTAAAAACCACTTTAAACACAAAACTAAACACAAAACTAAACACAAAACTAAACACAAAACTAAACAACAACTTACATTTAAAATTTACAAAACTAAAAACTTACATTTAAAATTTACAAAACTAAACAACTTACATTTAAAATTTACAAAACTAAACAACTTACATTTAAAATTACAAAACTAAACAACTTACATTTTAAAATTTACAAAACTAAACAACTTACATTTTAAAAATTTACATTTAAAAAACTAAACAACTTACATTTAAAATTACAAAACTAAACAACTTACATTTAAAAACAAAACTAAACAAACATTTAAAATTTAAAACTTTACATTTAAAATTTACAAAACTAAACAACTTACATTTAAAATTTACAAAACTAAACAACTTACATTTAAAATTTACAAAACTAAACAAACATTTAAAAACAAAACTAAACAACTTACATTTAAAATTTACAAAAACTAAAAACTAAACAAAACTAAACAACATTTAAAATTTACAAAACTAAACAACTTACATTTAAAATTTACAAAACTAAACAACTTATATTTAAAATTTACAAAAACATTTAAAATTTACAAAACTAAACAACTTACATTTAAAATTTACAAAACTAAACAACTTACATTTAAAATTTACAAAACTAAAAAACTAAACAACTTACATTTAAAATTTACAAAACTAAACAACTTACATTTAAAATTTACAAAACTAAACAACTTACATTTAAAATTTACAAAACTAAACAACTTACATTTAAAATTTACAAGAACTAAACAACTTACATTTAAAATTTACAAAACTAAACAACTTACATTTAAAATTTACAAAACTAAACAACTTACATTTAAAATTTACAAAACTAAACAACTTACATTTAAAATTTACAAAACTAAACAACTTACATTTAAAATTTACAAAACTAAACAACTTACATTTAAAATTTACAAAACTAAACAACTTACATTTAAAATTTACAAAACTAAACAACTTACATTTAAAATTTACAAAACTAAACAACTTACATTTAAAATTTTAAACAAAATTTAAACAAAACTAAACAACTTACATTTAAAATTTACAAAACTAAACAACTTACATTTAAAATTTACAAAACTAAACAACTTACATTTTAAAATTTAAAAAACATTTAAACTAAAACTTACATTTAAAATTTACAAAACTAAACAACTTACATTTAAAATTTACAAAACTAAACAACTTACATTTAAAATTTACAAGAACTAAACAACTTACATTTAAAATTTACAAGAACTAAACAACTTACATTTAAAATTTACAAAACTAAACAACTTACATTTAAAATTTACAAAACTAAACAACTTACATTTAAAATTTACAAAACTAAACAACTTACATTTAAAATTTACAAAACTAAACAACTTACATTTAAAATTTACAAAAACTAAACAACTTACATTTAAAATTTACAAAACTAAACAACTTACAAAACTAAACAACTTTAAAATTTACAAAACTAAACAACTTACATTTAAAATTTTAAACAACTTACATTTAAAATTTACAAGAACTAAAAACACAAAAAATAATTTTAAAATTTACAAAACTAAACAACTTACATTTAAAATTTACAAAACTAAACAAACAAAACTAAACAACTTTTAAAATTTACAAAACTAAACAACTTACATTTAAAATTTACAAAACTAAACAACTTACATTTAAAATTTAAAAAACTAAACAAAATTTAAAATTTACAAGAACTAAACAACTTACATTTAAAATTTACAAAACTAAACAACTTACATTTAAAATTTAAATTTACATTTAAAATTTACAAAACTAAACAACTTACATTTTACAAAACTAAAAAATTTACAAAAACTAAACAACTTACATTTAAAATTTACAAGAACTAAACAACTTACATTTAAAATTTACAAGAACTAAACAACTTACATTTAAAATTTACAAGAACTAAACAACTTACATTTAAAATTTACAAGAACTAAACAACTTACATTTAAAATTTACAAAACTAAACAACTTACATTTAAAATTTACAAGAACTAAACAACTTACATTTAAAATTTACAAGAACTAAACAACTTACATTTAAAATTTACAAGAACTAAACAACTTACATTTAAAATTTACAAGAACTAAACAACTTACATTTAAAATTTACAAGAACTAAACAACTTACATTTAAAATTTACAAAACTAAACAACTTACATTTAAAATTTTAAACAACTTACATTTAAAATTTACAAAACTAAACAACTTACATTTAAAATTTACAAAACTAAACAACTTACATTTAAAATTTTACATTTAAAACTAAACAACTTACATTTAAAATTTACAAAACTAAACAACTTACATTTAAAATTTACAAAAACTAAACAACTTACATTTAAAATTTTAAACAACTTACATTTAAAATTTACAAGAACTAAAAACTAAACAACTTACATTTAAAATTTTAAAACAACTTACATTTAAAATTTACAAAACTAAACAACTTACATTTAAAATTTACAAAACTAAACAACATTTAAAATTTTAAACAACATTTAAAATTTACAAAACTAAACAAACATTTAAAATTTACAAAACTAAACAACTTACATTTAAAATTTACAAAACTAAACAACTTACATTTAAAATTTACAAAAACTAAACAACTTACATTTAAAAAACTAAACAACATTTAAAATTTTACATTTAAAATTTACAAAACTAAACAACTTACATTTAAATTTAAAAATTTACAAAACTAAACAACTTAAACATTTAAAATTTACAAAACTAAACAACTTACATTTAAAATTTACAAAACTAAACAACTTACATTTAAAACTAAACAACTTACATTTAAAATTTACAAAACTAAACAACTTACATTTAAAATTTACAAAACTAAACAACTTACATTTAAAATTTACTAAAAACTAAAAACAACTTACATTTAAAAATTTAAAATTTACAAAACTAAACAAAAAATTTACAAGAACTAAATTTTTAAAATTTACAAGAACTAAACAACTTACATTTAAAATTTACAAAACTAAAAAACAATTTACATTTAAAATTTACAAAACTAAACAACTTACATTTAAAATTTACAAAACTAAAACAACTTACATTTAAAATTTACAAAAACTAAACAACATTTAAAATTTTAAACAATTTAAAATTTACAAAACTAAACAACTTACATTTAAAATTTACAAAACTAAACAACTTACATTTAAAATTTACAAAAACTAAACAACTTACATTTAAAATTTACAAAACTAAACAACTTACATTTAAAATTTACAAAACTAAACAACTTACATTTAAAATTTACTAAAAAACTAAACAACTTACATTTAAAATTTACAAAAACATTTAAAATTTACAAGAACTAAACAACTTACATTTAAAATTTACAAAACTAAACAACTTACATTTAAAATTTAAAATTTACATTTAAAAACTAAACAACTTACATTTAAAATTTACAAAACTAAACAACTTACATTTAAAATTTACAAAACTAAACAACTTACATTTAAAATTTACAAAACTAAAAACAACTTACATTTTAAAATTTACAAAACTAAACAACTTACATTTAAAATTTACAAAACTAAACAACTTACATTTAAAATTTACAAAACTAAACAACTTACATTTAAAATTTACAAAACTAAACAAACATTTTAAAATTTACAAAACTAAAACTTACATTTAAAATTTACAAAACTAAAAAACTTACATTTAAAATTTACAAAACTAAAAACAATTTACATTTAAAAATTTACAAAACTAAACAACTTACATTTAAAATTTACAAGAACTAAACAACTTACATTTAAAATTTACAAAACTAAACAACTTACATTTAAAATTTACAAAACTAAACAACTTACATTTAAAATTTACAAAACTAAACAACTTACATTTAAAATTTACAAAACTAAACAACTTACATTTTAAAATTTACAGAACTAAACAACTTACATTTAAAATTTACATTTAAAATTTACAAGAACTAAAACTAAACAACTTACATTTAAAATTTACAAGAACTAAACAACTTACATTTAAAATTTACAAGAACTAAACAACTTACATTTAAAATTTACAAGAACTAAACAACTTACATTTAAAATTTACAAAACTAAACAACTTACATTTAAAATTTACAAAACTAAACAACTTACATTTAAAATTTACAAAACTAAACAACTTACATTTAAAATTTACAAAACTAAACAACTTACATTTAAAATTTACAAGAACTAAACAACTTACATTTAAAATTTACAAAACTAAAAACTAAACAACTAAACAACTTACATTTAAAATTTACAAAACTAAACAACTTACATTTAAAATTTACAAAACTAAACAACTTACATTTAAAATTTACAAGAACTAAAGAAAAGCAATAAGCATGTCAACTTATAATCAAAAAGACAATATATTTCACAAAAAGAAGCTCAAAAGAATTTTTATAAGCAAATACAACCAATCCTGACACAGTTCAGCAAAATATTGATAACTTGAAACATGAGATTTAAAGATGAGAATTTTCTTATGTGTGGACAGGTAGCAACCCAAATTTTGGTCACACTAAATTCCATATTACTATAAAAATTTTGAAATCAAGAAACTCTTATGAAATAATTTCACAAGGGGCGTTATATTCATTTATTCCTCATTTTTGAAACCAATTTATAATCTTTTTTTGTCTTTGTTGAGTTTGAAATCAAAATCACTAAAATTCTATTGCTTGTTCATTAACAAAGTATTGTCTTTTATGGTAAAATGTCTCCTAAATATTTTGTTACAGGAAATAATTATATTACATTGTAATTATGTGACAATCAATATTAAAGTATCAACCAAAATAGCAAAAGCAATATTTACATATGCTGTAATCAACCTGATGCCATGAAATCTGATTTGTTAAAACCTTTTGAGTGCTTTTGAATATCAACCAGTTTTAATTATTAGGAAGTCTTTTTTTTTTTTATTTATTTATTTACATGTTATGGTTTTTTCAGGTAATATTTTAATTTGTAAGTAATCTAGTCATAATGGCTGATTCAGGACTAAAAATATTCAATTAACATTACCTTAACTAATACTGACTTATAGCATACATAAATTTTAAAATTACAAAGGACAATTATGCACTATAGTTATACAGTAAGCAGACAGGGAGCTTACCTCCATGAACATAATACAAACTAATTTTAGTGTGTAAATTCTTACTGCCCCTCTAAACTTAAAGTCCCTGCCCTGGAAAACACTTAGGCAAAAAGCCCAAGAGTAGGACATGTGAATAGATTACCTTTAATTTTATTTATAAATAACTAGCAGTAGAGCCCAGCGTTGCCCGGGGATGTAACAGTAAGAGATAGATCAAGTATCGACCATCATAAAGACTGAAAAATAAAATTGACAAAGACTATTGTTTAAGGTTGACGGACACACATATCTTAATTAGTTTTTTTTTTTACGAATTGGTCAGACCCAAACTTAAAACAAAAACATTGTTTTCAATCGTTATGAGTCTACCGATTGAATAGAATTTCATTATAAACAATTGTCTTGTAAATGGAATTTTTAAAGCATTCTGAATTTAAAAATAAAGAAAAAAGTGTGCAAGACAATAAGAAACACTATCTGCCAAAAAAAAGTGAAGTTTTGTTGAAATTGGTTCCCATATATAAACAAACACACACACACACACACAAACAACCTGGGTTTTATAAGTATAACTCAATATGAGTTGTCCCCTTTTCATTCTCGCGATGCCTCTTAATCGTGTTTTCAAATTGATTTCATGCAAAAACAATTGTATTTTTCCAATTTTTGTCGCTGTCAGAACCACCGCAAGGTAATTTTATGTAGTCCTGTGAAGTTTTGTTGAAATCGGTTGAAAAATGTAGGAAATCCGATCCAATATATAAACTTACAGACACACACACACACACACAACCTGGGTTTTATAATAAGTATGATTTCTGATCTTGGTAGAGTATTTTCTGTAAAATTGATTGTTTTTTGTTTTGTTTTTTACAGCTTATCAACCTTTTGCATATAATTTAAAGCCAGAAAATATTTTTTTGATTGTAAGAATTGTTTGGATATAATAATGATCTTTAGTGAGACAAGTTCTACTAATTAACCCATAGTTGGGGAGAGAAGATATGGATTCATACCTTTCCCAAGGGCATTTATTTATGCACATGTGAATATAACGAACACCAATTGGAATTGAAACCTGGCTCTCTAGTTTTCACTTCTGAAGCGTTATCCATTACACCACCCACAAATCCAAGCTTACAGCACCTGGTATTCTCAAAGTGATTACCCACCTAGATATTGACCTGGTTCAATGTTGTTTAACTTTGGTGATCAACAAGAAACAGTATTTCAACATAATATTGCCATATCTTTAAAAGATCAGGTTAGGTATTCTTGGAGTTTTCTATGAACACTCAAGTCATATACTTGTAAAATTTATAATATATGGTGCAGCAGAAATATTTCCCACATAATGGTAAGACATTAACAGTGTCTTCATTTAGCTGATGTTTTACCATTATGTGGGAGATATTTCTGCTGAATCCTGCATTTCAATAAATATCTGCAAAATCTCTAATTAGTTAAACAATGTTCTATATAAATAAATGGCAAATTCTGTTTTTAATTTATATTGAGTTTAAAGTAATATAAAAACTGTGTGAATTTAAAATTTTTGTTTCAAATTCAGTTTAAAATATCTCCAAAACTTTGTGAATTGAAGAAATTAATTTTTTTTTTCTTCAAAATGTCAAGGAATCAGAGTTAAAGTGAGGGGTTTCATGATGTGATGTTTTGAAGTTCAGCAGAGTTTGTGAATTGAAGAACTCAATTTTCGGCCTTAATTAGAATTGGAGTTTTGGTCAGAATTGGAGTTATAGCCCAAATCAGAGTTAAAGTTCTATGGAGTTAATTGAGGAATTCAAAGTTATTTCTTCAAAATTATCATTGCTATTTTTTAAGCTGGATCAGAGGTCCCTTTAGTTTTGGACCAGAGGCGCAATTAGCCCTCAGCAGGAGCTAGCTTAAAAGTCCTATATGGAGTGTGACTTTTAAGCTAGTTTACTAATAATTTCAAAGTATTAAAAATCTATGGTGAAATCAATTTTTAAAAAAAACTTAATGTTTTTAATTTTTCTGTTAAAATATCTTACAAGTTTGAAAAATGTAATATTTAAGTATCATGTTATTTGATGGTCACATTCTGTAAGTTGTTTATTAGCAAAAAAAACAGATGTCAAAAGACTAAATTTTTTTTTTTTTTTTTGAAATACATAAAAATCAGTAAATTAAAATACACCTGTTAATAGAACTTTCCTCACAAAATATCACAGCTGGCACCCTACCATTATTAAATAGACACATATTCTTCACAAAAAAAACAGAAAGGCATGTTATGTCAATTGGGCAAAAAAAATGTTAATAGAAATTCCCTCACAAAATATCACAGCTGACACCCTACCATTATTAAATAGACACATATTCTTCACAAAAAATAAACAAAAAAAACAGAAAGGCATGTTATGTCAATTGGGAGAAAAAAAAAAAAAAAATGCTCAGTAACTCCCCACTCATGTTCTTTTAGATCTTTTTAGTCTATTTTTTAACTATTTTTTCCATAATCCACTTAAATACTCTTGAAAACATGCATCCTGAAAACAAACCTAGTTAAGAAAATTCAATATAGAAATAAAAAGTATCCTTACTTCTGTGACAATTGACGTAAATGTTGTATTATATTTCCAAGTTCCAGGACAGGGAATTGTGACATTTTTTTCTTTCCGCATGGTGTGTATATAACATTGGGAAGATCCTTCATGACCAGAATTTGTTGTAAGGCTGTCATTATAAAAGGTAGTGTCACAAACATGGCCAGGATCTCTGCCAATCAGTATTATACCGAGGACTGGGAATACTCCTCGAAATATAACAAGACAGAGGAGAAAGTAGATAATTTGCTGATATCTGCTGAAGGTCCCAAGTAAAGTTAAAACTTCATCAGGTTGCAACTGGCTAATCTGTAGAGAAAGGAAAAAAATAAAAAAAATATTAAAAAAAATAAATTTAAAATAAAAAAGGAAGTGTGTTCTTCAAAATTAAAGAGGCTCTGAATAACTCACTTATTAAATACTTGTTCCTATAAAATATCTGTGAAAGATAACACTTTCGATTATCTTTCCCTTAGTTATTTTTTCATGTACTCTTATTTATTATTTTGTACTTTTTATTTATAATATTTATTTCTATTTATTATATATTATTTTTATTTATTATATCCATGTACAATAATAAATAAACAAAATCACTTCCAACTGGAATATTTTGTAAGAACATTGAAATTTTATATGCATATATTGTGCACCAGAATGCTTCCTCAGTGACATCTATTCTGGGGTCATAGAAAGTTTCAGGCCTCCATGACATCAGACTTTCTTTCCCATAGGCCCAGCCAAGAGTAATCATTTCTTGACTAGAATTCTGGCATAGCTTGTACATGAATTGTAACAATATTTGTGCCTACACAAATGATATATTTTCATTCAGTCCTATGTTGGGATTCTGACCAATCAGAATTTAATTTTTTTTTTTACTATTGGTGTTTTGGCCAACACATGTTTCTTCTTAATAATCAAATATCAATTAGCTATATATATATCACTTCTACCAATTTACAATAACTATTAGCTAATTATATTATCATTGTCTCCAATCCCTTACAACATTACTATCACATCATATCATATAGACCCACTATAATTATTAACATAAACTACCCTCTCACCCAGCATATTAAATATCACCATATAAAATAACCAATAAGGATTACAAACCGAAATTTCTACCTGTTACATATACACAGTCATCAAAAACAAACAAATAACCAGCCTTAAATATAACAAATAAACCCCCTTTTTTCAAAAATTTAAAAATAAATATAAATAATAATTTTTACCTATCATAATTTTACACAAACCCCACCACACGTATATACATACATGTGAGGAAATATTATTCAGTGGAAAAATAAAAATATGACATGTATACATTCACAAGAAATTTTCGCTACACTTCCAATCTTTGAATTTCAACATACAAATGCGTATGTATAGACACAACACCACCCGTATACATACATACATATGTCATATCCGAAACTGCCCACATATGTTTATAAATGTATGAGTCTCGACGGACGACCAAGTATGTATATGTGTCTGCGTACTCCTTTAGGCGTATGAACATACATCGATGTTTGCATTAGTACGATGACACAACGATGACATTTCCCCCATCACTTCCATAATAACACCAATACACGCAATCTACATAAACCCAAAATTTAAAAAAAAATTAATCAGTTTGTCTGACGATCGCTAAAGCATGAAACCCAGGGTCACAAACTCACATATATCCAACCATATATATATATATATATATATATATATATATATATGACTCTAAACTCCTTGAGGAACATAGGGGCCGCAATATCATTGCGGTTTCTGTAATGAGCCAGATTTTTTTTTTTAAATGAGTAGGTTGTTAGCCTACTGCACAACCTCCAATGTGGAGGATCAGGTTTATCAGTTATCCTTTTCTTAGACCAGTTGCCACCCAAGGCTATAGAACCCAGTCTGTCCTGCTATTTACCCATAGCTGGGGGGGGGGAGAAGAGGATTCATACCTTTCCCAAGGGTATTAGCACGTAGGTGAATGTAATGGATTTGACTGGAATTTCGAACTCAGCTCTGCAATTCCTCAATCCAAGCTGCTAACCATTACTCCACCGTAAGCTGTAAGTGTAGCTATTATTTATATATTTGTATTCTTACAGAAATTTAACTATCAGGGTTGTGTAGTAACAAGTGATGGACAATGTGACAAAGAAAACTGAAAGTGCATTAGAAAAGTGAATGATGCCTTCTAGAAATGAAGTTAAGTAAGAAGATATAGGAAAACTTTGTTAGAAATTTTTGAGAACATTTGGAAAGGATGATGCTCTAAGGTTTGAAAACTTATTCTGTATAAGGTCATAGTTGTTTGTTTTTTTTTTTTAATAAATTGTTTCTGGTTTTCACATGTGAATTCTTAAATGTTATTCAGTCAGTCAGTTAAGCACCATATGTGATATACATTTGGGTGATCATGTCTCTTTCAATCCATGATTGATCAGGCAGAAGATTTTCCCAAAGTAGTTTGCCATTTCTTTCTGTGGTAGACTGGTTTCCAACTGAGGCTATAGGACCTAGTCTGTCCTGCTATTCAACCCATAGATGGGGGGAGAAGAGATGGATTCATACCTTTCCCAAGAGTAAATGTAATGACCTCAACTCTGATTCCTCATTCCATGTCAATATCAATTACACTACAACACATGTTATTATATTATCTTATTACACTGTTCACTCTTGTCCTTGGTCATTTGAACAAGAGTAAAGGTTTATCCCTTTAGTTCTTTGCATCTTAGTGACATTATTGCCTTGCTTGAAGTGAATTAATTAAAAAAAAAAGAAAAGAAAAAGGTTTCAGTTTATTACTTGATAATGATAGAAAACTAACCCCCTACTTTATGTCCAGTAGAATCTTAGAGAAACATGAGTCTATTCAGGTCCTAAAAAAGTGATGGCATATTTTATAAGTCATTATTATTAGGTGTTTCCGTACAAGCTTTTAGATACATTTTTCCAGGTATATTAATATATATATAGTAATCCTGGGGGATTTTGTTTATTACTTGATAACAATAGGAAACTGGTCACCTACTTTGTGACTTGTAGAATGTGATATTAATGCATGTTTACCCGAAGAGAGTTGAAATTTTTAGGACACAATGAGGAAAGAAGGCTTGGAAAATTTGACACTCATAGGACAGCTGAAAACAGCAAGTTACCTACTCAATGACTTTGTTTAAATAGATTGCAGAACAGGGAGTGGGAGTAATAATTAAAAAGTTAAAATTTGCTAAAGGTACAAAGGATAGGAAGTTGAGGAGAGGCATGATTGCCCATCTCCTGACAGGAGACGGCACATAGATCATAATCTTGGGTCCAATGCTGATAATTTAACTATACCTATTTTGTAAAGGTTGTTATTTCATCAACCTTTGATAAACAAACTGTTTGTAACAGAAACTATCATTCTGTATCTGCACCTCACTAAGAACATACAAGAAAGTATTAAAAAAATATATATTATTTTTTAATAAAACTGTCATAACAGTATTAAGAAACAGGAAAATTTCATTAGAAACAAAGAAAAGAGTGTTTAACTACTACTGGCAATCCTCCTATATGACAGTGAATGCTGGACAATTGCCTCACAGATGAAGAAAAGACTTAAGACAAAAATGTGGTTCTACAGAAGGATGCTGAGAATACCATAGAGCATGTGAGTAATAACAAAGTTTGAAGGAAAGAAAAAGGACATTTATACTTAGAAAGAGGCATTTGAAATTTCTGGGACACATAATGAGGAAAGAAGGCTTGAAAAATTTGACACTCAGTGGACATACTGAAGGCAAAAGGAACAGAGACAGCAAGTAACCTACCTAATAAACTTACAATAACAAAATATTAACTATGGACGGTTTATCCACAACTTTGAGCACAATACTCAACACTTTCTTCGAAAATTGGAAAATTACAATAAAATATCAAACAAACAGACCTTGCCATTTTTTTAATCAAACTTAAAGGTAAAAGACAATAGGAAAACTGTATTATTAGCTGGCATGTTTTGTCCAATGTGAACTTTTCCAAGGCAAAAACGAAGTGAATTTATTAAAACAAAGTAACTATTAGCAACAAAACAAAATGTCCTTAGCAACTAGAAGAATTTAGAAAACACTATTGTATTCATAATGTCAACTGAAAATTTACATCGAATACTATCACGTGTAGAAATATTGTTTTTATTGTTGTGTTGATGGATTCAACCATTTTCTTTTGATTTCTTGAAACAGTTGTGTACGTTTGCTTGGGAGAGTGTAATTCTGATCTTATATTTTTTTTTAAATGTTAACATAGACATGACGTTCATATGTTAATCTAGACATACCCATAAGTATATTTCTAACCCTGACCTTATGATCCTCTCTTTAACTTATGAAAAGAGATAATAATTTGCTTTTTCAATGTCCCTAATAAATTATTTTTATCATTAGTTATCTACCATCTCAGTACCGAAACACAAAAGTTTTTGCGTAGTGATGTAAAATGGTTTTATTGTAATTTATTATAATAAAAACATTATAATATTTTGCTCTACTTTGTATTTAGCACTTTTTAAAAATAAATGTTAAACTGTGGATTTTTACCTCATTTGTTTTTTCTTTCATTTTTTATATATTATATATATATATATATATATATATATATGTGTGTGTGTGTGTGTATATTTAGGCAGCAATTTTTCATTAATGCATGCTTCATTAAATAAGCCGAAAACTTAGATTGGATTCAAACATGTATCAATATGGTGATTTCCTTTCGTCTTTCAATGATAATGTTATTAAGCTTATCAGACAATATGAAAGGAATTTACTTAAAATAAATAGACAAAACTTGTCTATATTATTTAATGAAACATGCATTTACACACACATATATATATATATATATATATATATATATATATATAGAGAGAGAGAGAGAGAGAGAGAGATGTATGTTGTAACATTAACCACTTCATTATGTTGCAAGAATGTTTGCTCGGATTTTAGGTGGAAAAATAAAATCTGTGTGCCATGTTTACAAACTACAATACAAAATTATAAACAACGCAAAGTAATGATCTTTACAAAAAAGGAAGACCAAGTTGACAAATGTTGACAATAACATTTATACAGTAGATACGCATATTTACATATTAGAATTCAATAGTCTTTGTTGTGTCCATGAAGAAACCAATAGTTTGAGTGTTCAAATTGTTGCAAATGAGTCTGAAAACTTTGAGGTTATTTTGTTGCAAGTGAGTCTGCAAAGTTCAGTGTAATACATACACCAATATTTGTGTGTGAAGCACATGTCAATGAACTGCTGACCAATTTCATGTGATAGCAGTAATTTTAAAACACAGTGAACAAGGACAGTTGAGACAACACTTACTTCACCACAGCTTTGTATGTAGGAAAATCATCGCTGACGCATTGTCATGGTGACATGTGTCAAGGCTGTGCCTTGTTTACTTACTATTCCTTTTTCACAGATCTGTTCTGACTATTCTGTTTCAGATCTGTCTGGACTGAAAAAATTTTTACCCCTTTGATTTAAATTTGTACAATGGAATGACTTCTATCCAAAATATAGGAGGAGAAAGTCAGAAGATGGAAGTCACATTGGCAAGATCAAAATGAGACAATATGGATATCAAGTTAAGCAAGAAATCCCCAATCAGTGTGTAGTGCCTTACAACACATATTTGTTACGACACTTCAACTGTTATATCAATGTTGAAATCTGCTCATCAACTCATCCAAGTATTGCATCAAATACATATCAAAGGGGTCAGATCAAGTTGTCTCTGACTCCCACTTCCCGCTGAAAATTTTTTCCCTTTGATTTAAATTAAATTTTAACAAGGGAATGACTCCTATCCAAACTATAGGAGAAAGCCACAAGATGGAGGTCACATGGGCAAGATCATTGAGTAATATTGAAACGCAATTTTTCTCCACAAATTATAACAAGGATTTAAAATCAATCATCATTTTCTTACAAAAACAAAAAAAAAAAAATAAAATAAAATAATGACACACAGCAAGGGGTGGGTAATTCAGCTAGTATCTAACTAAACTTTTCTAACAGAAAAGAGGCTCCAACAACAGACAAAGACTGCATCTGCATAGATCTATCATGGTACCCTGATTAATGGTAAAAAGGCATTGATCCAAAACAATATCTGATTGCAACATCATCACTTGAATGCATTGCTGCTATTTTCACAGTGGATATGATATATATATATATATATATTACACACAAATAACATATTTATTGGCTTTATTGGTCTATCGAATGATGATGCTTGGATTGTTTCATTAATTCTTTTGCAAATGAGACATTCCATTGAAAGAAATTGGACACTAAAAGTGAAAAAGCTAGAGAGGCCATGGAAAAAGAAATAGTTGCTCTAAATGCAAATAATATGTATGAATTAACAGAGCTCCCACCTGGTAAAACTGTTGTAGGTATTAAAACAAATGACACTAGTGAACAGTTCAAAGCAAGAATTGTTGTAAAAGGCTATTTGCAAAGACCTGACATAGATTATTACAAAACTTTCTCTCCTACAGCTCGATTATCATCAGTAAGAATTTTAATGCCATTAGCTGTTCAATATAATTTGTCCACCAAATGGATGTAAAACAACATATTTAAATGCACTGATTGACTGTGAAGTGTATATCAAACAACCAGAGGTCTACTCCATTCACAGCAAAAACAAGCTTGTATGGAGATTAAGGAAATCCTTATATGGACTTAAGAGGATGAAATTGGACAAATTCTTTACATATTTAATTGGTGAAGGTTTCTCTCAATCCTTGACAGATTCTTGTAGTTACACAAAAAACACTTCTATTCAGCATTAAATAATGTAAAAACACATTTAAGTGAACAGTTCAGAATGACTGATCTTGAAAAGCTTTCTTTCTTGGAATACAGTTTAAGTTTCAAAACAATCATATTGAAATGAATCAAACAAAATATATTGAAAATATTCTAACCAAATTTAAAATGCAAAATTGTAAACTTAGATCAATGCCTTGTGAAATTGATATCAATTTAATAGATGAGAGTAATGCTGAACCAGTAGACAGAAAATACTACCGAGAGAGAGTTGGCAGTCTTATGTACGTTATGACTACCACTCGTCTTGATATTAGTTATGTGGTAACAAAACGGACAAAATAATTTTAAATCCAATCATGGATCATTTGATGAGAGTCAAACAAGTCTTGCGCTATTTGAAAGGGACAAAAACACAGTTTAATAAGTCAAATAAGCCCCATAACTTTAAGAGGTTTTTGTGATGCAGATTAGAGAATTTCAAAAGATTGCTGTAGAATTACAGAATACGGTTTCCAATTATCACCAAACTGTTCAATGATTTTGTGGTAAACAAGAAAGCAACCTACAGTTGCATTATAAACCTGCAAAGCAGAGTACATGGCATTGGTGGCTGCAATACAAGAAGCAAAATTCCTTACTCAATTATTAGCCACCATAATGCAACTAAAAACCAAGCCACAATCTATTGCGATAATCAAGGTACTATTGCTTTTGCTAAAAACCCAGTCTACCATAAACATTCAAAACACACACACAAAGTACCATTTCATAAGAACTGAAATTCAAAAAGGTACAATAAAATTGGACTATATTCTAATGGAAGAAAATTTTGCCAATTTGTTTACTAAACCTATTGGCAGAAAAAAATTAAACAAATTTCTTACTACTCTAAATGGAACACTATACTGAACATATATTTTTTTGGCATTTTAATTGCCACAGTTTTTTTCCCTTGTTTTATATATATATAAAAAATATTTTAAAAATCCTTTTATGATGTATGCAAATTATGTATGTGTATTTGTAAATGTTTTGCATCTATTTTGTTTATATTTATTGGACCCATAGAAAAGGGGTGGGGGCTATTATGAGTGCACTCATCTATTTAGATTGAAGGAGGTGGGTGTTGATTTCCCTGTGGGAATGACTGCAAAAGTTCACCCCCAACCTTTTATAGTCAGAAGGACACAGAATGCATGCAATAAAATGTACAGTTTTGACATGACAGTACAGATCTGACGATTCCGGCGGTTCATGGCTGACTTGTTGGCTTTCTTTTGGGGAGAGTCACATCTGGGGAGGTAGACAAGCCCAGCTCCATGTATGCAAGGTCTACAGGGAATACTGTGTTCACTTGGTCAACACTGCTTTTGTTTACAAACACCAACTCCTCGTTTGTGAATTCTTTTGCCTTCATATCAATTTTGATTTTCTTTAACTATATTGTTTGTTTGCTTGTATGATTGTTGCTGTTTCATCTTTTTGACCTTTTTTTCTTTTCATTGGAAAGTTTCTTTAATTCTGATCGTGTTATTTATCTTGCACTTTAACAATGACTTCTAATTCATCTAAAGTGCTGAGTATTGAACTTGAAATTGTGGTTAAAGTGTTTGAGGTTTGTATTATGTTGTTGATTTGTTGAAATACTTTCAAACACCTCAGTTATTTTCAAGAATACAATATGATGCCTGTGTGCTATATAAAAAAAAATAGCAGGATGCAGACAAAAGATCAAAGATTATTTTACTTGTAAAAAAAAAAAAAAAAGAAAAAAGAAAAGAAAAGAAAAACTCACCTTTTCTATTGTCATCTCCATTTCACAAGAAAATTCTTTTTTAAATTTAATTTCTCTACATTTAATTTAATGTTCATATCTGGAAAAAAGACAAATCTTTGTTATATAAAGTATCTATAGATATAACTTTCTATATAAAACAAATCTTGTCAAATTATATAATGACAGAGAAAACAAAACAAATTCAATTAGAACAAGAAATATTGTTTGTTGAGGTGATATCAACCATTTTTCTTAAACCCTGCGATTGACTTAAACCTTGTCAATAATTAAGAAAATTCACTTTTATTAAAGAAATTAATTAATAAAAATTAAAGAACAAAACTAAAGAAACAATACAAAACACATTTCCACATTTTTTTGTGAAAAGAATTGACAAAATCTTCAAAGAACAAAACAGTTGAAAAATATATAGAAAAATTATATCAAAATTTTACTTACATTTTCTTTAAAATACTGGCTTTTGCTTATAACCATAAAAAATTTTGGTTAACAGCAAAAGATGTTTAGGTCTGCAGACAAGAATTTAATGATACATGCAGACTTGTATGTTATGTCACTGGCTACAGGTCATCTCAAACAAATTCAAATTTCACTGTCTCATCAGTTGATACTTGTTTACTTGTTATGTAAAACTTGTCCATTAAGCAAAAATAAATTATAGCAAAAGATCAACAGATCATAAAAATAAAATAAACATTGAATTTCAAACTTTCAACTTATGAACAGTCAATAAAATTCTATTATCTGCAGTAAATAGGGTCCAAAACCACTATGGTTATAAGTAATGCATATATAAAAGTGCATTCCAGAAATTCTGAGACTTTTTTTCAGGCAATATTAAATTCAAACTACAAAACTGTTTCAAATTAGGACTCTCAATGCACTTCATGAAGGCCCCATAGAAGTCACCCAAAGTGTAAGGGTCTAGGACCCTTGTCACAACCTCCTTCATCTAACAGTTAAGTTCAGTAACTCTGTAAAAGTTAGGGATTGATTTGTGATTGTAGCTATATTATGAACAGATTTGATATACAAAAATCAATTAAAAAAAAAAAAAAAAAAAAAAAAAATCAATATTTTTTTATTCTGACAAATGTCATAACTTAAATATGATCTAAAAAATGTTAATCTACAGAAATTATTTCTTAAAAAACATTTTGCTATTTTTTTGCAAGTGGACCAGTTTTTCTGTATGTTATAGATCAATTTGATACTGTATTGATATTATGAACAGAACCCCCTTTCTAAAATGCTAAAAACAACATTAAAAAAATATTTTCGATTTTGACAAGTGTTGTGGTGCAAGGTCTAATGAATGCCAATCTATATAAAAAAAATACCCCCCCCACAAAAAAAACTTCCCGTAACAAACTGTTTTATTTATTTTACTGACTGGAATTGTTTTAAAATAATTTCATTTTTTATAAGTCTTTTGAGAATACAGAAACAACTTATGTTTGATAACAGTACATTCTAATGTAACGACATATCCATTTGGGACCACAATAGTTAACAAGTACACAAACACTAATTGGCATAACGAGCAGAAGGCAGTGTTCATCGATAAATAGGTTCAGATCTCTGTAGCTGAGATTTGGTTGACTAGGTTGAAGCTGACATTTTTACATTTTTAGAGTTATCTGTGGTGGATTTGACAGGTTGTTGGACAACCGTATCCAAGTGATATTTGAGGGGTAAACAGTAGGGTAGACCATATGCTACAGTCTGTTGTATTACTCTATCAGCGCACACACATTGCCACTATTCTGGGTGGTATGATTCTCATATATGCTAAACTCAGTTGCTAATGTAGAGATAAAAGTGCCTAGTTTTATTGTAGACTAGCTTAATAGCTGCTATATCAGGCAGTATTTAAGCTAGATCTTATAGAGGGCTCTTGATTGAGCCTTCCTCACAATAGGTAGGGAAGAGTAGATGCAATAGGCAACAGTAAACACTCTATAGAAGAGCTTAAAACTGATCACTGCATTTAAGTATTGCATTAATATTTAAGCTTACCTTTTAAAAGTTCAATGATAATTTTTCTGATCCTACTTCATTAAAAACAATTTGATGTACGTAAGTCCTTACTTTCCATACAAACAATTATTTTTATTTCATGGGTGACTTTTGCTGGATTTTGCAATTTTCGCAATAATTTTGATTATTCCCAAATTTATTTCCAAGTTATAAAAATTGTCATCATACAAAAGAATTTGTTACAAAAAAATCACATACCTCCCCCACCCCCAAAAATTGCCGAAAACAATCGCAGTAATGAAAACTTGGGAATCAAAAATTTCAGGATTGCAGGTCTGAATCTGGCGTGGAATATTTTTAATTTGCTCATGGCATCAACCTGATTCTAAAATGGTGTGATATGTTGGTCTACGGCCTCTAGTTTTAAAGTTGAAAACACAGACAATTTTATTTTCAAACACGGTAATTTAAGAACAGTAATTTTTTCATTTGAACATGAGCTATTGAAAGTTAGAGAGTTGTGTATCTTTAATTGTTTTTATCAGTAGAAGCCAAGATGGTGGAATCCAAAAACAATCACAGTAATGAAAACTTGGAAATCCAAAATTTCAGGATTGCAGGTCTGGTTCTGGCCCAGAATGTTTTTAATTTGCTCACGAAGTTGGCCTGATTTCAAAATGGTATGATATGTTGCGCTACAGCCTCTAGGAGTAAAGTTGAAAAAGTGTGACACACTGACATTCACATTTATTATATAGATGTAATCAATGATCACTTTACTTTCGGTGTAGATGGTCATGTTGTCAGTCTATATATCAATTTCTGAAAAAAATGAGTGTTCAGATTGTGAAGCCAACTTTGCCTTTCCCATAACAAAGCCCACTTAACAATTTCCATTGCTGTCAATTACTTTGAGCTAAGCAATGACAGCTATAGCTTTAGTGGATGCATTGCAGAAAATGTGTAGTTTTTCATATGAAACTTTTGAAGGGGATATTTTAGTGAGAGATCTTTAAGGAGACTTTCAATGCAACTCAAGGCTCTTACATTTCTTTTGGGAATGAGTAATTCCAGTCTCAATAGTGAGCACCCTCAGGATAAATTTCCCCTGATGAGTCACTGATGCAGCAAGGATTGTAAAGGCTATTTAGAGTCGACAGAACTACCATTCACATAAAGGGCATGTTCATATTATCTACCGTGATTGTGAATCTGTCTGTCTTGAGGCTCAGGCTGTATTTTGTTGACAGATCTTTGCTCAAATCCAATTCTTCCAGATCATTCACATGATCATGAGGATTTGAATGGTAGTGGTGCTAACCAACTGCTAAGACTCATTTTTAGTCTATTCTTATGCCATGATGTCCATAAAGACAATATCTTCAATAGAGAGTGCCAGGCAGTTATCATCCTTTGTTCATCAAAACATGACCTAAGTGACCTCTCTCCTTGTGTTGTAATGTGCAGCAAGAGTGTGTTGATGTTGGAGGAAACATCTGATTGCTCTCCCAGCAATTATGGGGAGTAATAGGCAGCGAAGGGAAAGAGACAGGAGGTACAAAAAGTAACACTGTCTCAGAAACCACAGCAACTTTAGGAACAAAATGCCCATGAGATGAATTTCACAAGACACAAGTCTTCCCAACTGCTGACTTCTGGTTTTCCGTTGCTTTTATTGGCATGAGACATCTTACAAAGACCTGGATCTAGACATGCCAAGCTGTCCCACTGCTAACGGGGAAAACTCAGATGTAACCGGTGGTGACAAACATTCACACATGATCCAGGGCCTCTTTTGTGTCTGTACCGACGAACATTTGCCACATCTTGTTGTAGATGGGTTTCTTGATGTATCTTGAGTGATCATGGTGGTTTTGATTACTACTAAATCTCTTTCATTTGAAGAATGTTTAAGCTTAGCTCAAAAATGGTAGGGTGACTGCTTTCAAAGACATTAGTGTAGAACATATTTACAGTGGGTGGCTTGCAAGTCCTTCTTGAACAAATTTTGCCTACTATAACCCATTATAAGTCAAGCTTTTTAGATGGGAGTGTTTTTAAAAGCTGTTGACTTGTCTGCACACCTTATGAATTCTGATGAGGTCTTGACCGAGAAGCATGATCAACATCTTGGATTCTCATTCTAGGATCAGAATGCCAGTAAATGGGGGTAGTGGTAGCAGAGTTGGAATCTTAGATCTGTTATCCAGAACCTTGTTGCATTCAATAAGGTTAGGAAATGAAAGACTCACCCACTCATCAATAGATTCAACTTGGTTGTCTCCTGGCCCTTTTTCCAGCAGTCTCCATTACTCCAACAAAAATTTTAAGAAAGTAAGTGTAGTCGTTATCATTAAAAGCTCTGAAGAAGTCCAAATGAGCCAAGGATTGATTGCTTTTTTCATTGATGATAGCGTAAACCCTTAATGCCTTTTACTACTGGCCTATGGGATAGAAGGCAAATTTCACAACAGTAACACTGGGACGGTACATTTGCAGCAGGTAAAGTGTATTCGAGTAGGATCTATTTCCTTTCTACAAGGTGCTAGTTCAGAGTGCAGTGCAGTGTTGTGCTTTCTACTGTTTCATATAGGGATACAAATTTTTTTGCGATCACAGAATCATGGAATCATTAATCTTAAACAGAATCTGGGTTTATAATGCAATTTTCAATAATAAATAACAAATTAATTTAATTTTTGTTTTAATTTTTTTAATTCTTTCAAAACTTAATAACTATCTCTCCAATTTTTTTTAAATATTTGAATAAATATAACATTAACATAATATTTCCTTAAAATTTGTTTTAACAAATATTTGTAGTTATTTTTCCTTTTAAAACCCCAAAAAGGATTAAAAACAAAAATGTTTACATAAGAAAAACAGGTTAATTTGTAGTATAAGCACCAAAAGCCCAGAGTAATGAAAATATTCCATTGTGGTGCTCTATTGCCCGATTATTTTGAAAATGACATTAAAAGTTTGTGCTCTATTGCCCTTTATGATTTTATTGACAATGTAAGTTTGACTTTTTTTGT